AAAATTAGATTAAACAGTTAAAAATATTACAGAATTAAAATATTTAAAATTTGATAAAAACATGTTAAACAATTGAATCACATCATGTTTGGACCAGTTTATTGTATTTGTAATGTATATTTCTATGTACTTTCTGAAGAATAAGTCCTACTGAATTCTCTGGAGCTTGCTTCTGAATAAGGACACATGGGATTGTGCTGAAGGATTTTAAAGTCTTAATATTTTATGAATTAAATCCTGCATCTTTAGAAATGGCATCATCTTCCAGGGACAAACAAATATTTATTTATTTATGGTATTTTTTCCCTGTCTTTCTCAGCTCGAAAGTGACTCATATTTGATGAGATATCCATTCTTGGAGTCTCACTATGAAAGTTCCTAATGGGTCCTTTCTCGATAATTTATGCACACAAAAGTTGGTCAGCCTTTAGCCATCCTCGTGTTGTGAAGTTAGATGTTATGCCCATATATTCTTTGCTTTACTAACAATAGAAATGTGTATCTGTTCCTCCAGGATTTCCTCAATAGGAAACAATAATTCTGGCAAAGGAGCAGTCATTTCCTTATTGCTAGAGTACACTAGACAGCGCACAAGTTGGACACAAGTTGGACAGCAAACTAAAGGAGCTCTCTGATTAATTACCAGCATCATATCAACTATCTGTGAAGCTTCTGACTCACAGAGAAGATTCTTCAAATCATTACCCCTTGCTCTTAAGAAGAAGAATTCTTTGTGCTGCCCCTATAATCTTTGTCCTTGCATTGCTTTGCAGTTTATACAAAGGCTGTTCAAGGTAAAATCACAGTTCTTTGCTGTCCACTTTATCCCACTGAGATGAGCTGTGATATGAAATGTGAACAGCCTGATTCATATGGCAGTTCTTGAGCAAGGTTTTTAAGCAGGCAATGTCTACTTGGATTCTAAGCAGTTTGGAGAAGTCAGTGTTTGTTTGGAACGGTTCCGTTCTGCCTTTCCATCTTAGATAGAAATTTCCTCAGTTGTCTTGCTGGATGATATCTGCCAGAGAATGGGACTATGCACAGAAGAGAGGTGCAACCATGCTATATATATCTTGGGCTTTTTGGGAATCAGATGTCCATTATCAGTTATAATAACCTTAAGAACTGCATATCCCAGATGAACCCTCTAGGCATGGGCATATGGTGTTTCTAGTCCTTTCTGGAAAAACAGATAGATTGATTAATTCCTGCTTTTCTGGATACAATCCTCAGAGATTTGAGCCATAAAGTAACAATCCTTCCCCTGTCTATGTGAAATTATGTTTCATTAATTTCAGTTATGCTGACCACTCACTCCTAACCATGTTCTCTCCTGAGTATTTCGCATTGATTGCATTAGGACGTAATACCATGTAATCACACCACACCCCCTGTACTCATGGGGGATATATTCCTGAATTTACCATGGAAACAGGAATCCATGGATAATGGCAGACTCTATTGAACTATATGATTTCCATCAAAAGTTACCATAGTCACCACGGAGGACCTAGAAAATCCTAGAAAGACATTCTTTGTTGGAATTGGCTCAGTTTTCCAACACATAGCTTCAAGTGGAAGCACATTATAGAATTGCCTGGAGGAGGACGTATTTTGTTGAATGTGGATAGGTGAAACCATGTGTAGAAGAGTTGTACTGTAAGGACTGTGGTCTTCACTCACATAGGTGGAGGATCTCTGGAGAAGCATTCATGTTTATTATGGGATGAACATGCATGAGTGAAATTGGTTCATCAAGTATCATTTCCACTCATGCATGTTCGTCCCTAGTCAGGAATGAAGAGGTCTATTGTAGGTTTCTTTACACAACAGTGTTGTTAAATCAGGAAAGCTCATTTGGAAAAGAAGATAATTGTTTATGGGCATTTCACAAAGATGCAAGATAGCCTAGTTGGTGAGTCGCCCAGATGTCTTCCTTGTTGACCAATCCTGAGTTTGAGAGATAGTTCTGAAAGTATTTCTCAACTCTTTATGGGAGCTTTCAAAGGAAAGTGCAAACAAATAGAGTTCAATAAACCTGAGAAGGCCATAAATATTACAGCCAGGGATTGGAGAAGAGTCTATCCCCCTTGAGACTTTCTTCTTTCAGTATTATCATTTAATCAGCTAACCGTTGACTATGGTATCTTAACCTGCTTACTTATTTTGGAAGCTTTCAAGGAGAACAGAGGAGGGGAGCTTTTGGAACTACAACTCCCAGAATGCCCCATCTATCACTTGTCCCACCGTGCAATACTATTTAAACTAGAATTTTTCTAAGACAGGTTGTTCTTGCTGTTGTTGTTGTTGATAATGATGATGTGGTCATTTTCCAACTTACGGTGATTCTAAGGCACATCTGTTACTGTGTTTTCTTGGCTACCTATTTTTAAGGTGTCCAAATGTAAAAATTGACTACCTAGACAATGAACAACTTTTCACACTAAAATTGATATTTTGTATACTAATTAATGACATTAGCCCGTATAGGAATTGATCTCTGGGCATCTGTATGCTATACATGACATTTGCTTTGAACAGGAGTGGAAATGATGCCTCAGATATTGTTCATTTGCAACTCTCAGGATCTCTTCCATTAGCTATGCAGGTGAGGTCTGCTGGAATTTGTAATCCAACAAGATGTGAAAGACCATAATTACTACTCTTGATTTAGGGGACTGTACAGAAAAATTCACACCATCTTCCCATAGATGTATGCACCCACGTTCAAACACACTTTTATATTATTAGACAGCACTCAGTCTTTGTCACATCACAAAGCTCCATCCTTTCCTCTCTGGTTTTGGCTCTGGAATTTTAAGAGAATGGGGACTGTTGGCCCAGCAACCCTGTTGGCATTTCCAGTTGACAGATCTAGTTGCAAGTGATGTGAAAGATGACTACCTGTCCCTTTGGCAGATCATGGCCATCACAGCAGAAATACCTGGAATAGATTAATCAACAAATCTAGATGTAGCATCTTCCTAACATAGTAGGGAAATTAGTAGGTTCGGTTACTTTTACTATTTCCTCATCTCACAATGGGGTTGCTAGTTCAGGCTCTGAAGTTTCTGGGTTAAAGCCTGAGGACAAAACCTTGTTCATTAAGTATGGTATAACCACCGTATCTATGGGGGATCCCTTCCCAGATTTCATGCGGATATGCAGAACCATGGATAATAGTAAACTCTATTGAAATGAAGAGCTTCTGGCACAATAATACCATAGAGCCATTCTGAAAGGCCTTGGAAATGCCTACAGAGCAGGGCCATTGCCGGGGAGGGATTAGAACCCTTTCGGGGGGGGGGGCTTCTTTTTTAACCTGACACAATTCAGGGCAGAGTTGAATTTTTAACTCCCACCGCCGCTCTGGCTACAGCCCCGCTACAGAGGACATTGTCAGAAGGGTAGTAGTGAAACCACAAATACTGGAGATATGGGAGTTGTACTAAGTAAAATTGCCCACTTGTTGTTCAAACACATATACATTATATTCTCCTTTAGGGAAAAAAAATTCTCAGCTGTGGCCCCCCGCTTATGGAACGCCCTCCTTAGAGATATCAGACCTGGTTATGGGACCAAGTGTTTGATCAGTGAGCAGCAAGTGGAAGAAGATCACACAACTTATGGCAATGAATTGACCCGGACTGGTTTTTGGATTTCAATTTTAATGGATGTGTCTTAATTAATTGTTTTAATTGTTGTTTCAATATTTTTAATATTTTGATTGTACTGTGGTTGTTTTTATAAAAAAAAATTGTCGTGCCAGAATGCTAGCATTGTATGATGCTTTTGTTAGGCTGCCCTGAGTCCCCTTTGGGGGGAGAAGGGCGGGGTATAAATATAGGAAATTAAGCTAAAAGGACTGTTCCAAGCTCAAGGTGAAATGGGTGTTGTTGCCGCCGCTGCTGCTGCTGCTGCATGCCTTGACACCACAACTTGGAGGGAAGGAGGAAGCTAACCAAATAGATCCCTAGGGGAATCTTTGTGAGTTATACAGTATCAAGCTTGGGAATCATAGTAAGCTGTTGGTTTAATAGGTGAGCTGGAAATTTGCATACAGTCCTTTGTTTTTGTCTGTAGGCAAGACTACCAAAATGAGAATACCCAACCTTGTCTCCCATGAGGAAATAAGCCACACAAACTAGAGACTCAGACTCAAGCACTGAGATTTGGCAACTCTATGTCACAGAGATCTTGAACTGGATCCAGATATAAAGCAGAACTCTGAAATCATTGAGATTTTTTGGTTGCAACTTATGTGAATCCCATTGAGTTCAGTGGACCTAAGTGTGTTTAAAACTGGATCCAATCCCTTCTCCATTATGTGCAGCATGTACTGTACTTTTCTTTCTCTTGAAATAATGGGGTGTTTTTCATAACATGACTCCTTTAGAGAAATAGAAGAAAAATAGAATAGATAGAAGAATTAAAGTTCAGGTCTTTGCAGGCACATAGTATTGACAGTTTCATTTTTGGTGAATGTGTGGTTTTCATTTTTATTTATTTATTATTTACTATATTTATATACCGCCCCTATCAGCCCAGAGGCGACTCGGAGCAGTTGAATGACTCATTGCAATGAGGCATGGCAAATTGCATTTTTGTATGATCTCATGTCATCTTAGATGTAGGATCTCTCACAGTTCCATGATCGTTGTTAAAGTCATCAAGTGTGGAGTAATCAAACAAGAAGAACGCTATGATGCCCATACAGTACACATATACCATTGGTGGGCAAGTGGAGTTGTTTTTGGAATCCAACACCTATAATCCCTCGTTATTGGCTATGCTGGACAGGGCTGATGGCAGTTTGCTGCAGAAAAGATGGGAAAGGCATAGATGTTTACTTTCCTTTATGCACATAATGTGGACCTCAGATCAGTGTTTGCAAGAGATGAATTTGCCTCCAGGTCCACTGCAATGTTCAGATGCTATAGTACTTCCAGCTGATTTTTTTTACAATATTTTGATTGACTGTTTGCTTTTTTGTCTTCTAGGCAATAGAGACTTTGCCGTAAATGATCCGTTGGAATTCAAATCAAATCAGTGGTTTGGTGCATCGGTGAGATCTAAAGATGATAAAATTTTGGTAAGTTAATAGGTGTTATTAAATGTATTCAGAGTGTCTTTTTAAAATGTCCTTGTAAATGTGTATATACATGCAGTAAGAACCTCTGAGCTACCTCAGTGCCTCTTTTAGCCAATTCACACACACATGAGGCTGGCATAACAGGCTTTGGTGAACCCCAAAGTTTGCAGATATACTGTGTGTGTGTTTGCATGCCAAACATCATGATGAAAACTAAGCATGCTCATTTGACAATGAATGCTGTCTGATTATTGGGGAGAATAAACTGTGAAGTGTTGGCAGGAAAATGAAACGAAACATCCTGCCATGCAACATTTTGTAGCAGCTCTGATTTATTGTGTTAGATTGGAATTTGGTCTTTTAACAACAGTGAGGTAATATCTCTTTTCATTAAAACTATAGTCGTCTAGTTTCATAATCCGTTAAGCACACCCAGATTATAAATCTCCCTCATCTCCATTAATGGGTAGATGCTTAGTTCTTATGTCATATTTAAACTAATGGGGTTTTTCTGTGGAATTCTCCAACAGTGTTTTTGTGAAAAGTCCTCAGAGATCTTCTATGACCTGGTTCATACAGAGCAGGGGACTGTGTCTGGACGATCTAGGGACAAATCCAGATTTCATGCTGATAATCACTTAACTTTCCTTAACTAGTTTGGAGGCTAAATAAATGTATGAAAGTTAGTTAACCTAACTGGAGCTGTTCATAATGAAACTTCTGTTCACTATAGAGTGCCCAGGTATTCCATTTTTATGTAACATCCTGTATTGTGGGGCTGTGTATTGAGGTGATACAGGATGCCCCAAATCCTGTTATCTCTTGATCTGATAAGTATCAGCACCAGCTTCTATCACAACTGACTAACTCCCAGCATTTGGTGTGTGCAGCACATTGGCCTATTACATATTAGAGGTTGGGGATTGGTTGTGGTCCACCGGGCCACACTGAAAACATATACATACCTGTGACACATTTAGCCCATTGATCCCATCACTCCCATCTGTACATTAGATGCTTAGCTGAGCTTCAGATGCTGGCAGATGCTGACACAGCTTTGGCAGCTGGGTGGTGCCAGGAAATTAAGGGTTAGGGCTCACTGAAAGTCATCTGATTGAGAGCCTTCATCAAGGAAAATGATTTTCTGCAAGTTGCAAACAAAGCAGTTTATCTCCTGTGTTCTTGCTGCCGCTGTCCAATTCATATGTAAGGTGCAACTGAAATATTTTCTTTTGCTAGTTTGCATGACTGTTATTGTATGTAGATTTTAACGACTTGCCTACTTTGAAGAAAAGCATGTTCCAAATGCTGCCCTTTTTTTCTTTCTCTGCAGGCGTGTGCTCCACTGTATCATTGGAGAACTGAGCAGAAAGCAGAGCGGGAACCTGTGGGAACTTGTTATCTTCGTGACGGGTCTAAAATTGTTGAATATGCTCCCTGCAGGTCAAGTATGTGGAGAATGCCTTGCTGTGTAATTACAGCTCTGAATCTATGTTCTGTGTGCTGTCATCTTTTATGTGCAACTTGAAGGGAAGAGCCATCCCTCTTTCTCTTGCTCAAGTTTGCAGCAGTGATTTTCATGGGTGCCTTTGGGGGGGGAAATGTAGAGAAGGCAGAATTGTCTCCAGCAGTCCTTGAAACTCAGATGCAGATATCAGAGCAGACAAAGATTTGAATTTAGTAATGAACTGAACATAATAATGGAAGTATGGAGGCAATATGTAGCTTCTGGTTTTTCACAGTACTTACATAGGCAATCCCTCGTTCTCTGTGATGGCCTTTCAAGTGTAGTGTCTTGGCGGTGAATACATAGGTGACTGTGGAGCCCTATTCTTGATCCACATGTTTTTCCATAGTGAGGACATCGGTTTCCAGGTGGAAGGCAGTCTTTGTCAGGGTTGGCTTGACGTGCCTTTCTCTTGGCATGTTTCTTCCTTTCACCCTCTGTTCATGCCTCTTCAAATTCCGCAGCACTGCTGATCACAGCTGACCTCCAGTTAGAGCGCTCAAGGGCCAGGGCTTCCCAGTTCTCGGTGTCTATGCCACAGTTTTCAAGGTTAGCTTTGAGCCCATCTTTAAATCTCTTTTCCTGTCCACCAACATTCCATTTTCCATTCTCGATTTGAGAGTTTAGCAACTGCTTTGGGAGATGGTGATTGGGCATTTGGGCAACGTGGCCAGTCCAGCAGAATTGATGGTGTAGGAGCATCGCTTCAATGCTGGTGGTCTTTGCTTTTTCCAGCATGCTGACATTTATCTGCCTGTCTTCTCAAGAGATTTACAGGAGCTCAGGTGGTATTGTATTTCAGTGTCAATGTTGACTTTTGTGGAGAGGTGGCTGCCAAGGTAGTGGAAATGGTCAAAATTTTCTAATGTTACACCATTAAGCTGTTTTTCTGGGATTGCAGAGAGATTGGTTCATGCCTGGAGAAGCACTTTGGTTTTCTCGATGTTCAGTGAGAGGCCAAGATTCTCGTATGCTTCTGCAAAGGTATTTAGAGTGGCTTGTAGGTCTTCTTCTGAGTGTGCACAGACTACATTATCATTGGCATATTGGACTTCTGTGTGAGGAGATGTTGTTGTGACCTTGGTTTGGCTTTCAGTCTTTAGTTTGCCATCTGTCTCACAGATGATTTCTACTCTGGTGGGAATGCTTCCCATCAACAAGATAAAGTATCATAGCGATGATGATGGAAAATTTATTTATTTATCGTGTCATCAGCAACCAGACATTTGTATTACATTTTTAACAAAAACAAACAAACAAACAGACAAAACACAGAATTTGCAAGCTTGGTAGTTGATTAAATGTCCTTTGACCAGTATCTGGCCACTTGGAGTGCTTCTGGTGTTGCTGCAAGGAGGTCTTCCATTGTGCATGTAGCAGGGCTCAGGTTGCATTGCAGCAGGTGGTCTGTAGTTTGCTCTTCTCCACACTCGCATGTCGTGGATTCCACTTTGTAAAATAAGGTTGGGGCAATACCACATCCCTGTTTGACACCTCAATCCACCTTAAATGGGTCACTTTGGTAGCCATTGCCATCCAAGACTTGCCATTATGTCATCATGGAGGAGCCGCGGGATGTTCCCAAATTTGTCAGGCCATCTCATTTTGTGGAGGATGGTCGAGAGAGCACTGCAATTCACTGTGTTGAATGCCTTTGCAAGGTCACAGGCCATGGAAGGGACTGGGGCAAATGATAGATGTATTAAATATGTGGCTGATACATTGCTGTCCTAAATTATAGGTGTTATTAAATGTATTCTGAGTGTCTTTTAAAATAGCAATCCAGTGGGTCATAGAATTTAGTCAGGGACACAGAATGAGTGAAGTAGAATAACCTTTTCACCTCATCCTTTAGCCTTGATGAAAATCACTCCCTGTTTGGCATGTTAGGAAAGCTTTAACAGAGTGTTGGGCAACTACAGCCTTTGGCCTGATCGTCCGTGCCCTTCAGCTGGGTTTTGAAAGCTCTCTATAAGTGATCAGTCCAAGCCACTGCAAGAGCAATCTGTCCCTTCTCCAGCAGCATTCCAGAGTCTTTCCTAGGATCAGAGGGCCATAACAGGCACCAAGCAAAAGGAGCATTTCTCTCCTAATCAGCGATAAGGAGAAGAGATTGTTAGCATTTCTGTTGCAAAGCTCTGTGTTCATAGGATTAACCACATCATAAAAAAAGCCTCCTCAGACTCGCTCCTGGCATGCAAAGGATCAGCTCTGGAATTCCCTTTCTTTTCCTCTTTTAAAGACAAGCGATATCTCAGAACTATGGGTGGGTTCCCACTCTGCAAATAGAAAAGAAGGAAAGGGAATGCAGACTTGCCATTTTAGAATTTCTACTTTAAATACGTTTCTGTTTTGTTTCTAGCTAAAGACAAAAATCACACTTTCCCCTTTCATTGAGCTTTCGCACTTGAAGGTCAGACTTACACAAAATACAACCCCAAAAGCCAATGAAGGACATTAGCATGCAGTGGAGCGAATGCAGCTACTTCCTCTATTGAAAAAGCCATGTTCCTGAAAAACTATCTCCCTTAATTCTCACCACCAGCAGCCAGTTCAGTTGGCTATAGCAGAGGGAGATGTGGTCAAGAGCCAAACAAACCCATTTGCCTTGCCATGTTGATAAACAACATACTTTTGGATTGCTGTGAGTTTTCCAGGCTGTATGGCCATGTTCCAGAAGCATTTTCTTCTGTCGTTTCGCCCACATCTATGGCAGGCATCCAAAGAGGTTGTGAGATCTGTTGGAAACTAGGCAAATGGGGTTTATATATCTGTGCAGTGTCCAGGGTGGGAGAAAAAACTTTTGTCTGCTTGAGGCAGGTGTGAATGTTGCAGTTAGTCACATTGATTAGCATTGACTGGGCTTGCAGCTTCAAAGCCTGGCTGGTTGCTGCCTGTGGAACTCTGGACAAGAATTGATCAGAACCAGCTAACACCTCCCAACAAAGGCTCCCCCCAAGCAGCAGCCAGCCAGGCTTTGAAGCTGCAAGTGGGATTTATAGAATATGGAATATCCAGGGTGGGAGAAAGAACTCTTGTCTGCTTGAGGCAAGTGTGAATGTTGCAATTGGCCTCCTTGATTAACATTTAATGACTTTTCAGCTTCAAAGCCTGGCTGCTTCCTGCTTGGGGGAATCATTGGTTGGGAGATGATTAGCTGGCCCTGATTGTTTCATGTCAGGAATTCCCCTGTTTTTTAGTGTTCCTCTTTGTTTACTGGCCTGATTTTTAATGCTGGTAGCCAGATTTTGTTAGATTTAGTCTGATACGGTTTTTTAAAATACTGGTAGCCAGATTTTGTTACTTGCAGTCTAATATGGTGGTTTTTAGAGTGGTCCAGCAGTTTCAGATAATAGGCTGTGTTCAGGTTGGTTCATCAAGTGCTTTCTTTCCTTTTTCCTCTTTCCTCTTCATCCTCTTGTCTTTTTAGTTTGTACACCCGCAGGCAGAATCTAAATTTCCGAACATATCTTGCCAAGGAAACCCCATGATCGGTAGATTGCCTTAGCTTAGGGTCACCATAGGTTGGAAACAACTTGAAGGCATACAACTATGGGCTCATAAAGCAACCTTGAAGCTTTGGACCACAAGAAGATCCAACCAGTCCATACTCCAGGAAATAAAGCCCGACTGCTCACTGGAGGGAAGGATATTAGAGGCAAAGATGAAGTACTTTGGCCACATCATGAGAAGACAGGAAAGCTTAGAGAAGACAATGATGCCGGGGAAAATGGAAGGAAAAAGGAAGAGGGGCCAATCAAGGACAAGATGGATGGATGGCATCCTTGAAGTGACTGGCTTGACCTTGAAGGAGCTGAGGGTGGTGAGGGCCGACAGGGAGCTCTGGCGTGGGCTGGTCCATGAGGTCACAAATAGTTGGAAGCAACTGAACGAATAAACAACAGGAATGAAAGAGCAGTTCATGGAGGAATAATTTTTTCTTTGTTTAAAGAAGTAGACTTCTTATCATTTTGGGGGGAAATAAAATTGAAAACAGCTCCAGTTTTTGTAAGAAGTCAAAGAACAGGGAAACATATACCTGTTTTAAATTTAATGAACATAACATAGATTGATTTTTCTGCTTTGAGTTCCCATCTACACATCTGCATAAAATCCCACATTATCTGCTTTGAACTGGAATATATGGCAGTGTGAACTCAGATAATGCAGTTCAAAGCAGATATTGTGGGATTTTTTGCCTTGATATTCTGGGTTATATGGCTTTGTGGAAGAGCCCTGGGTTATAAAACTGTGGACTCAGATAACCCAGTTCAAAGCAGATATTGTGGATTGTCTGCCTTGATATTCTGGGTTTATAGCTGTGTGGAAGGGCCCTGAGAATGACAGGAAATGTTAAGTGTTGAGTTCCTCAAAAGTTTCTGAAACTGAGACTTTTTCAGGTTTGAAACAAGGACCTCAGATCAATAATGGGGCAAGACTTTCAAGGCTTCAGTCATAAAATCTTGGGAACACAGAAAAGAAAAGAGAAATCAATAGAAGTATGCCTGTCTCCCATTACTCCTTCCACCTTGGGCACTGTTAACCATTCACACAGAACTGGTTTGTTTTGTGACAACAGAATTGTGTTACACATCCTTACAAATCTTTTATTTCCATCTTGTTTTCTTCCCACAGCAAATATTGACGCAGAAGGGCAGGGCTTTTGTCAAGGTGGATTTAGCATTGACTTCACTCAGGTAAGCAAGCTGTTATTGTGTGACATCTTCTCTCAGTGCTTGGTAGCAAAGTTGGGAGACTAGGGCTCCTTCTACACTGCCATATAAAATCCAGATTATCTGCTTTGAACTGAGTTATATAGCAGTGTAGAATCAGACAATCCAGTTCAAAGCAGATAATGTGAATTATCTGCCTTGATAATCTGGATTATATAACAGTGTAGATCCAATCTAGAACTCAGTTCTAGACAGGTAGGTTTGTCAGGACTTGGTGAGTGAATTCTTATCACTTCATTCTTGTTGTCTTAAATTAATGGTGCTAGAGTGACACAATTTATTCAGTTCAGGATCTGAAAAGAAACGTGAGCAAGCCAGGAAGGATAGAAATGAATAAAGAGAAGATAGCATCTTCCCTATCTTGTTACTCCTGTTCCAGAACATAAAAACCTACAAGATTTTCCATTTGCCTTTGTCTTTTCAGCAAGCCTTTTTCATCTCAAACCATAATTTTAGAATGTTCCAGCAAGAATTATATTAGTCACTGAAGTGATTTCATAGTGTAACACAATGTGCACATGTTATTGACTATGGTAGCTAAGGGTGAGTATTCTGTATACAGAAGCAAAGTGCTTATTTCCACTGTGGCATGACTTCATCTGAAACAGTTCTGGTTCATGCATCTTGGAAATAATATAAAAGTACAAGAGATGCAGAAAAATGCAAACTGGATTACTAAGGGGTGTGGGTAATTCCCTTTGAAAGAATGAAATAGGGAGGAACATAAAAAAATGTATAAAAATAAGTATGGTGCAGAAGTTGTAGGCAGGGTGGAAGTGTTTCTCTTGCTTTTTCAGAATAGTAGAACGCAGGGTCATCTGCTGAAGCAAAAGGGGAGATTCAGGACAGATAAAGGGAATTACTTCACTAGTTTACAGAGTGCATTAGTTAAACTGTGGAATCCACTGCCACACAATGTTGTGATAACCTACAACCTGGGATTGTGTTAAAGGACAGAGAAATTTATGGTAGATGCAGCTGTTAGGGGCTCCTAGTCATGGTGGCTATATATGTCCTCATGTAAAAAAAAAGCAGTAAGCCTCTCAGTACCGGTTCCTGGGAACATAAGTCAGTTAATAAGCATTTTACTCATGTCCTGCTTGTGGGCTTTTCGTATATACTGTTTTTCAGCATCTTTTTTTTAGGCTGAAAAAACTTTCAATGACTTGTACTCAAGTCAAGGTTATTTATTATTTTACTTTGTTATTAGTATTACTTTATTGCATTTATTATTTTACCTTATTACTGTTATTATTGCATTTCCATTATTTAACTCTATTATTATTATTACATTTATTATTTTGCTCTATTACTATTATTATTACATTTCCATTATTTTTCCCAGTTTTTTTGTGGTAAAATTTTATATTTATTTATTTTTATTTGTTTGACTTGTATACCGCCACTCCCAATTTGGCTCGGAGCGGCTTATACTTGCGTATATACGGTAATTGCGTATATACTGTAATTGGTTGACTTCTATGTGAACAGAATTCTGTACTAGAATATCGCTTGGTCTGCCCCATCAAAGTTATAGTGATACCTTCATTGAAGAGTTTAATTTATTCTGTGACTGAACTCTTAAGTCATATTTCTCTTATCTCAAAGCAGATTTTCCCATTGAAATGCTATTAATCTGTTCCAAGGCCCCTGAAACTCCCCCCCCCCCAGCCATTTTTAATGTGTTTTTCTGCACATTCACATGGAACAGTAAAAAAGAAAGACAGACCTTAAAATAGTAGAAGCACAAAATTGTGGTAAGAAAGCATAAAGTGAAGAGGCAGAAGCATAATTTTCCTCATATTGTACTCATTCCAGCCTCCCTCCCTCCCTTGCTCTCCCTCTTCCTCTCTGTCTTCATGAAGCCAAATATACCAGGAATAAAAACCACACAAAATCAACTAAGCTAATATTCCTCAAAGCAGACAGCAATCTCCCAAAGTAGACAAGAGCATGAGGCACAAAGGCTGCTCCCTTGGGCCCGAAAACCCTGTACTCTCATGCTAGTGCTCCTTCTGGTGCTAGGTCTTAACTCAAAATGCTGCTCTTATGTCAAAGCAAATCCCAGGCTGAGCAATGGCTCTTAAATCAAAATGCTCTTAAGTTGGGTTTCTCTTAAGTCAAAATTCCACTGTATTGTCTTCTTACAGAAACAGAAAAAACCCTCATCAATGCTAAAGACATCTGAATAGTTAGCTATTGGAGAACGCAGTGGTATTGCAGCCTTAGCTAGCCAATTAGACAGTAGCCCTCATCTCATGCAATATCTCCCATCTATGGAAAACATACCAAAGGGGAGTTAGAATATGCTTCCTGGCCATCCTCACCCCTCTGTTGCAGACACAGGACTGAGTCTTTAAGGTATCTTCTGTAATGCCACTTATTCAGTTTATTGCAGATGGCTAGGGCTCCTTCCTCATCTCTGTCATCTAATGGTGTTATTCATTGTGATTCATTCTGACGAACTGATCTTTGCTGTAACTTTTATGAATTGTATGAATTGTATTTTAATGTATTTTATATTGATGATTTATAATGCTTTTCTTGTTGTATTGAATTTTATGTTGTTAGCCGGCCTGAGTCCCTCCTCGGAGGTTGAGAAGACCGGTTTATAAAAAACTCTAAATAAATAAATAAATAAATAAATAAATATCCACACTTTCAAGTAACCATGATCTTACTGTTTTTGAAAAATATAAGAAGCCCTTAACTTTTGTTTTCTTTGCAGGCTGACAGAGTACTTCTTGGAGGACCTGGCAGCTTTTATTGGCAAGGTGAGTCAAGGGACGTGGTTGGCAAAATGAGGGCAATCTGACTTATCTTTGGAGAGCCTGACAATATGATGTACATATAATACACTGGCTTTTTTCCTGGTAAAGTTACCAGGATGGTGTAGTTGTTGAAGTCTTGGATTGCCAGAGACCTTGAACCAGTCGTATTTTCTCAGCCTCTGAGGAGGGGCATGGCAAACCTGCTCTGAAGAAATAATTCCCAAAAAATCTTATGCCAGGATTACTATAAATTGGAATCAACCCAGATGGCCCAGCAGAGCAGCAACAACAAAGTTGCTTTATAATGGCACAGTATAGGCATCGCTCCTGTTGGCTATTTCTGCAAGAGTAGAAATGTGGGATCAATTATAGATTGGTGTATATATTCATTGAGTACTCTATTTGGGACTCCACGTAGGAAAAGACCACTAAGCAGGAACTATGTGATCTCTCAGTATTGTCTGTTTTAGCTATGACTACCAGAAATTTTCAAAAGTTGCCACAGAGTGTGGAAATGATGTCCAGAGGTTGCCACAGAGTGTAGACATGCTGAACTCTTTTCTGCCTGCTGTTTTTGTATTTCGTTTGCATCTCCACACTTTTTTAAAAGCAGCACCATGTTTTTGCTTTGCAAATATGTTTTCCATGAACAGCGTTATTCTTAAGTAGAGGAGGGATTTGGAGTGATTGGTAACAAAATGATTACGTATCCATGCATCTTCTCTTCAGACTTGTTTTGAAGGTGAATTACTCAAAGGGTAATTACACATCTGCATGAAATAGGTGTGTTCTTGTTACTTCAATTAACATACTGTATCTGAAAAGTATCTCAAATGTTGTGGTGTACAAACAAGATAAAAGTGGAGAAACTTAAAGTACAGGCATCAGATTGCAGAGCATCAATAATCACATAGTTGACATGTGATCCTTCATGCATCTTTCAAGGTAGTTTCCTATCTAGGAATACATGCTGATCTTTAAAGTGCCGCAAGACACTTTAAAACATGTTGAAATGGGTGCTTTTCTATAATATTCAGAATCTTGAGTGTATTTTTAAGTTCAAACAGCTTTCCTCTTTCTTTAGCCTAGGAATGGAAATCAAGTGAGCGTCTAGATATTTTTGGACTTTACATCCCAGTATTCTCACCTCTGGCTCTGTGGGCTAGGATTACTGAGAGTTGTAGTTTAGCTCCAGGGCTAATAACATAATAATAATAATAATAATAATAATAATAATAAGAAGAAGAAGAAGAAGAAGAAGAAGAAGAAGAAGAAGTGGACAGCGGCAAGTGGAAAGAAGACTTAGGATATCGCGACGTTGAATTAACCCAGACTTGGATTTGGTTTTAACTAGCGTGTTTAATCTATTGTTTTAATGAATTGTTTTTAATGTTTTAATGTATTTTTGACTATTTATATGATGATAGCATTGTACGGTGCTTATGTGAGGCCGCCTTGAGTCCCCCCTCGGGGGGGGGGGGGTTGAAGGGTGGGATAAAAGTGTATGAAATAAATAATATTTCACCCTATCTCCCCGAGGAGACTTAGAGCGAATTCCAGCATATATGCAGACACAGGCAAACATTCAATGCCTTTGAAACACAAATACACAGACCAAGGCAAAGGCTTCCCCTTTCATCTCCAGTTCTGTAGGTGGTGGTCATCTCTGGCTCTGGGGGAGGTACTCATCTCCATTTCCAAGCTGGGGTGCCTGCGTTGTCTGTAGACACCTCCTGGTCACGTAGCCAGCATGACTTCATGGGGCGCCATTTTACCTTCCCACTGAGACAGTACCTATTGATCTACTCACATTTGCATGTTTTCAAACTGCTAGGTTGGCAGGAGCTGGGGCTGACAGTGGGAGCTCACCGCATCTTGCGGATTCGAACTGCCAACCTTCAGGTCAGCAAGTTCAGCAGCTCAACAATTAAGCAGCAGCACCCATGATTCCCATCTTTGCTTTAGCCTAATCTCTATACCTCTTAAAAACATTGCAACACAGAAGCACTGTTTTAGCTGGCTGTTTTGTGGTGTGTCTTTTTAAAGCTACAATTTATTGCCTGCTTTATTTCAGAGTGAGCCACATTCAGGTCCTTCCACACAGCCATATAACCCAGAATATCAAGGCAGATAATCCACAATATCTTCTTTGATCTCGTTATCTGAGTCCACACTGCCATATAATCTAGCTCATTGTGGATTTTATAACTGTGTGGAAGGGGCCTAAGGGCAACTGATGTCTAACTAGAAATGTATAAGACTACACTGAGAGGAAAGAACAAAATTATTCTCTTAACTAAACCTCCTTCATCTCATAACTGCACTTGTGTTTACGTGTCCCCCTTTTCTACACTCTAGGTCAGCTTATTTCAGATGAGGTGGCTGAGATTGTGTCAAAATACAATGCTAAAGCCCACACTACCAAGTATGAAAACCAGTTAGCAACACGGTCAGCCAGTGCTGCTTTTGACGACAGCTACTTGGGTGAGTCTTTTCAATACCAGGTAGTACATTGAAACTGCAAACTCTTTTTTCAATCTGTTTTTAGTCCAGCAGTAGAAGATCGGTGATTATGTTAGCATTGCTTCTGTTCCCAATATCTCCCATCTAACACTAAACACCAAATAAGAAACCCATACTTTCTCCATAAATTCTATATTAAAAGGGACAAAATTTAGATAAAAACAAGTAAATATGACTTCCCTTCTACTTACTTAAAGACTTATCTTGGGAATATTGTTGTTCTCTATTGTTATCTCTATATCTGCCTTAGAATTTCATTATTATAAATTGCAAACCCTTTAAATTGTGTTTGCATGTCCCACCATTGAACCCTGATAGATGTAATGGGCTGGGAAGAAAGATTCTCCTGTGATGACAAGGATGATGATGATAAGTTTTATTTCTCCCCGAGTCAAGGCCAGGAGCAACATAGATTATATTACAACATTTAATTAAAGACATACGCAACCATTCAAAGCACATAGATTAAAAACATAAGCGTACGATTAAAACACATTGACTAGAAATACAAAGACAACCAAACTAGCCAGGCAGCATCAAGTGGAAGATCTTTATATCTCATACGGTCTTCTATATATTGTTTATTCTTACGTCAAGATAAACAAGCAAAACCTAGTATTTCTCCTTTGGACAGGCATTGGGATATTGACAAAAATCAAGTACAAATATGACCCCCATTATATTTGTTATGCATGGTTTCACTTGCCTAGCCTCTAAATAAAAAATCCCTTTCCATCCAGAAAGTGTTTTTGGGCCTTTTTAGGTCTTCCAGCGCCTTTTTATGGCATACCTTCTCCCCAAGTATTGTCAGAATATAAAGTTCATTATTATCCATGTTTTCAAGTATTCATGGGTATCTTGAGGCATATCCCTCTTGGATTCAGGGGGTCATATTGTAACTGGGCCTTTAATATAACTTTATGTTTAAAACAAGGGCAGACAAAGCACAGCACGAACGATGCATGTGCGCCCTCCAGGTGTTTTTGGCAGCTCTTTAGATGACTTGCTTTTTTTTTTTTTTTTTGGCAAAAATGTTGAACTATTTATCTTGGAAGCTTCCAAGAAAAACAATTCATCTTTTAAATCAGTGCTGTCCAACATGGTTTTCATTCAACCACCAGGTGTTTGAGACTTCAACTCCCAGAAGCCCTGGCCAGCTTGTCCAATGGTTAGGAATTCTGGAATCTGAAGTCCAAAACACTTGGAGGACCAAAGATTGGATTACTCTTTGTTTTCCCCAGAACCAAAAATGAACTCCTGACTACTTCTGTTTGTGTGTTTGCTTATTTTATTTTTATTTTTTTGGTGGTGGGGGGGTATCTATCCCAGAAGAAAATTAAGGCTCCAGACCTTGTGCAGCTGCCTACCCCTATTGTGTTGGATGGATAAGACTAGCCTAGTTGAGAGAGCACCCCCTAGTGGTCAATGGATATGGTGCCATTCTCTCTTCTTTACCACTGAAAGTAGAACTTGAAAGATTCATTTCCTATTGTTGTGTGCCTTCAAGTAATTTCTGACTACTGACAAACCTAAAGCATCCCTATCACAGGGTTTTCTTGGAGGAATTTGTTTGTGGGGGCTTGGTCATGCCTTCCTCTGAGCTTGAGTAAGATTTGCCCAATGTCATGCTGTAGGTTTCCATAGCAGAGCAGGGTTTCAGACCATGGTCCTGTTATTGAAAACCGGACCTCAAAAAGAGTCCATAGGTCCATAGGGACTATTGGGGAGCCCACATTGACCTTTTCCCCAGTTTCAAGCCCCCTTTCATTGATCTCCTCTAGAACAGTGGTTCTCAACCTGTGGGTCTCCAGATGTTTTGGCCTACGACTCCCAGAAATCCCAGACAGTTTACCAGCTATTATGATTTCTGGGAGTTGAAAGCCAAAACATCTGAGGACCCACAGGTTGAGAACCACTGCTCTAGATTGTTGCACAAGCACCACACACCCAGACCTCAGGGAATTACCACATATTTTTCTATTTTTTATTTACAGTATTTATATACCGCCTTTCTCACCCTGGGGGGGACTTATGATAATCTATTCACAATACCCTGAGAAGAAAACATAATGGGCTTTCCGAAGAGCCACAGGGTCCATCCCAACTCTTTGATTTGGTTCCTGGGAATGTTTCCTCTCCTCTATTGCTTGATCAGACCCCCTCCCTTGCATCTCCATTGAATTTGCCAACACCGTGAGCACCCTTTGTCTTCCTGGCTGGCACCCATTGTACTGACTGAAATAAAAACATAACTCATTTAAACCTATTATTGCTTGCCCCAACCTTCTACTTGTACTCTTCTCCTAGGCAAAACAGACACAAGCCTTGAAATAAAGCAATGGCAGTTTAATACATTTCCCTCCAAACTTGGAGACCAATTGGCAGCAACAATAGACAGTGCATCCCAGTCAGTCAGCCTGAAGATTCTAGCCTGTCATGATCTGAATAATAGTTAAGCAGCAGAAATCCTTTGTTTCAAACTGCTGTCAAGATCCTATAAATATTTCTCTATGCTTTCATTGAGGTAAGCCAGTCTTTGAAGTCCAAACTCGGCTGACATCCTCTTTGGCTAAGGGAAATAAACACCTCTGATTTTGCTTTCAACCAGTTTGTATCTCATTCAATCCTTTGGGAAATTGACACTCTGGGCCCTGAACCCATGTTTTTTTGCAGTTGCTTAAATCAGTCAACAGTCGCTGAATATACTAGTCCAAATTGTCAAATCACTGACCCACTTTGGCCTTAGAGCGGCTTAAATGCCAGGGTCCTTTCACACTACATTATTGCAGTGCTGTTGTTCTTCTTTCACAACCAAAACAACATCCTATGGATTTTGTTGGGATTTGTAGTTTAGAGAGAACATTTGTAATTCTGTGCCAGGAGCTTCTTTGGTGCCTCTGACCAGATTTGGGACCCAGGATTTTTTTGGATGTAAAGAACTTAGAGTGGAATGGAATTGTTTTAATTGTGTAATACAAAATAAACACAGTTGAATGTACTTAGTGTGTATTCTAGCCTTCTAGTCTGCCTATCAACTGCATGAATTATATGCTGGTTTTTTTAAAGGAAATGAATAATCAGAGATTGGTTTGCCAGTTCCTTCTTCTGAAATATAACCTACATGCATCTGATATTATTTGGTGGTCTCCCATTGGAATACTAACTAGGGTTGACCCTGTTTAGCTTCCCAGAGCAGATGGAATCTGGTGCCTTTAAGTGATTTAGGTCCTAATCTAGACAGATGCTGAAAAATATCTCTTGGTATTTAAGTCTGTAAGACTTCTTAGGGACTCAATACAGATGCTTTTGGGTAGTGATGCATTCTGATTTTCCTTTTCTTCTTTGACAGGTTATTCAGTAGCTGTGGGAGATTTTGATGGCGATAACATAGAAGGTATGCCTCATTCATAGGTGTACAATACATTAAAAAAAACCTTTATGATTAGCAGGAGGTAGATTTGAGGATGTGCATAAGAAGGTCTTAAAACTGAATCCTGCACTACTTTGCACATTTAATCCCATTGTCGTTTATCCTTCAGTGTCCAATTGCCAATGTAGTAGACAGTGGGTCCCCATTCTCGTTCCGAACTTGAATTTCCTTTAAGTTTTCTGAGGGCTGGAGTTAAGCCTCTCCTTATTTTCACTCCTCCAGCTGCAGCGTTCTGCAGAGGAATTTCTGTATATTCCGTAGCTCAGTGTTGAACTCCTATTCAGTTATCAGTAGGACTGTACTTGAAATGGGAAAGACTATTGGTTCCTACCATTGATTCCTACCTGTATAAGTCACAAAATCTATTATTTTTCTTTTTTTCAGATTTTGTGTCTGGAGTCCCAAGAGCAGCAAGGACTTTGGGCATGGTAAGGCGTGTTAAATATGGTATTTTCCACAGCACATATTTTTCCTAGCTGCTGCCAACATACACCATAGCAGTGATCTTTTGTTTATATTTCTTCTGCAGGTGTCCATTTACAATGGAAAAACCATGGCATCCATGTACAACTTTACTGGAGAACAGGTATGGGTTTCTCTTACCTTTGGGTAAACATGCCTATCATGCCTGTCTCTGGCCAATGTAACATGAACAAATTGGTAGCTTTATTTTTTTTCTGTTCTGGTTTCTTAAGAATAGGGTTCCTTCTACACTGCCATATAATCCAGATCAAAGAAGATAATCCACATTATCTGCTTTGAACTGGATCATATTAGTTTACACAGCCAGATAATCCGGGTCAAAAAAGATAACATTTTAAATTTTGGCATTTTAAGTTTTGGCATTTTAATTTTTTATTCAGAGAACTATAATTATTTAGTTTGAAAGGTCCCCGTGCTAACACGAAGAGCTCATTGTTTTACCTGTGAAAAATTGTAGCATGTTTCTGTACATATAAGGTAGAAATTTCATGCCACTTTGAATGTCATTTAGAATAAAGTCTGGGGCTGCCATGACTCACTTTTGACCCAAGATGGGAAGTGTATATTGTTGGACTGCAACTTTCATCACCCCACGCTTGCCCTTCTAGCTAGTTGTGAGTGGACTTGTAGTACATCAGCATTTCGAGAGCAACATGTTCTTCATTCCTAACTACATCAGCGTATAGGGAATATGCATGTGCAGCAGTACTAACGAGAGGGGTACATATTTTTTTTTATGCTTTCAGTAAAATAAATTGCAGAGAAATTGAACATGCAAAAAAGGTGCTATCTTAATAGCACCTTCAAAGTATGTTTAGAAAAGGATCTGTTGCTGGATAAAAATACAATGCTTTAAATTTCCTATTTTATTCATTGTTTTTCCATGAAATCTTGTCTCCTAGATGGCTGCATACTTTGGATATTCTGTAGCTGCCACAGATATCAATGGTGATGAGTAAGTTATACTATCTGTATGGTTTCTGATAAAAGTTGCCTATTTTCTATAGCATTGTCTAAGTTTAGAAATGAGAGAGCCAGTATAGAGCAATGATTTAAGTTTAAGTTTAAGTGTCACCAGTTGGAAATGACTTTAAGACATGAAAACACTGAAGGATTAAAATACTGTCTTTGGCTTATATAACTTCTTTTCTTTTACTGGCTTGTTCTGTCTTATCGCAGGTTTTTGTTACTGTGTGTCTTAAAATTGTTTCTGACTTGTGGTGACCAAGACTAAAGGGTTTCTTGACTAGATTTGTTCAGAGAGGGTCTGCCCTTGTGTTCCTCTGAAGGTAGGAGAATGTGACTTGTCCAAGGTCAACCATTTGAACCCTGGTCTCCAGATTCATAATCCTATGTTCAGACTACTATTTACTTATCTCATCAGGTGTGCTTTCAGTGTGATCCATTCAAAAATTGTCATAGTACATCCATGAATATTACAAGTGGAAAAAATTGTAGTGCTTAGAGTGTATATGAAATCCAGCATATAGATCTCATTTGCTGTGACATACTGTGTTTTTGTGTCAGTAAGATAATAATAATAATAATAATAATAATAATAATAATAATAATAATAATAATAGGCTGTGTAATCCCTGCTGAGAAATGTTTTGATTGGGTTTCGGTAAGCCTTAAGCTATGAGGAAAGGTTTTGTCAAAAAAGTTTTGTGGTCACTAAAGGAATTTTTTTCTTTCTCTTTCCCCATCTGCCTTTCAGTTATGCAGATTTACTCGTAGGAACCCCACTTTTCATGGACCGAGGCTCTGATGGCAAACTTCTAGAAGTGGGCCAGGTGTCTATTTACCTTCAACAAGCCTCTGGAGGCTTTCAGAGTCCAGTCATGAAGCTGAATGGCTTTGAAGTCTTTGCGAGGTTCAGCAGTTCAATTGCACCTTTGGGAGACCTTGACCAAGATGGCTTCAATGGTAAAGGGCTCTGTTTCTTTTTTGTCATTGTTTTTAAACTTGTGTCTGAGCTTGCTAGTTGCTTACTAATTATGCCTCTTAGGGATACTTCAGGTTCAGGCTCATCACTGGCTATCTACTTTTGCAAACAAAGTGCCAGGTTAGGTAAACCAGGGGACCTATCCAGACTACAGAATGATAATGCTATAATTCCACTTTAATTGCCATGGTCCCATTTTATAAGTTCCTTGGAAGGACATTTGGGATTCTCAGCCAGGGAGCTCCTCTGTTCTCTCTGGCCAAACTGCAAACCACAGGATACCAAAGGATGCAACCATGATAGCTAAACTGGAAGAATAGTGCTATGATTGTGTACTGTGAATGGCCCCGTGTTCTCATTCAAAATGATAGATGTTCTTCTCTTACTTAAAACTCTGGTTTTGGGGTGCTGCCTCCAGTTGTGGCAGTATATTGGTGACATCTTGCACACTCACCGGGGGTTCCTTAGAGAATCCTTGAGTATAAATCTAAATGAAGACTTTATGCTACATGTTCATTCACATACATTTTCTTTGTGATGTGTCTTATTTATAATATATCATATGGTACAACTCTGTTACCATAGGCTGTACTGATGATGATTAAATTATGGAGGACAACCAAACTTATGATTTAAATCTCCCTTCATTCTAGTTGAATCCCTTTACATTTCAACTAAAATTTACTTTGAAATAAACCATGTTAGTGGTTGAGGCTACCAGGTTTGCTGAAAATTATTGAAGGAGCTCAAACTCTCATAAATTTGAAAATGGCATCTTTTATCTGAGTCCATCCCAGTTGAGTCATTGCAAATTGAGTTGGCTGTCTTCTGCACACATAATAATGAATGAGAGCGTTCATTTTGTCATTGTAATGTTTTCCACACTTACCCAAAGAAATATGTTGGTTTTAATCAAAAACATGCTGGTTTAGATTTGGAGACACCAATGGCTCTTTCTTTGTCTTTTAGACATTGCAGTTGCAGCTCCTTATGGCGGAGAAGATAGGAAGGGCCTGGTTTATATCTACAATGGGAGACCTACAGGTTTGAATGGAGTGCCATCTCAAGTCCTTGAAGGGCAGTGGGCCTCAGAGACAATGCCACCAAGCTTTGGATATTCACTGAAGGGAGCTACTGACGTGGACAAAAATGGCTATCCAGGTGAGGATTCAAGAATTTCAGTGCAGCCTTGTGTATCTTAAACACTCCTACAGCATTTAACCCAGTGAGAGCTTGAGTATGAATCTTCTACTGCAGTGGTTCTCAACCTGTGGGTCCCCAGATGTTTTGTCCATCAATTCCCAGAAATTCTAACAGCTGGGATTTCTGGCAATTGTAGGCCAAAACACCTGGGGACCCACAGGTTGAGAACCACTGTTCTACTGGGACTTGTGGATTTTCTCAGTTCCAGCTTTTTGATGTTATGATACTTCTTGCTTCACATGTCCAGTGAATTAGAACTTCAGAATACCACGGATGTAGATTCCATTATCCACCATGTTTACTTTGGGCATCCAAGTTGTAGTCCTGTTCACTTTGCTGTGATAATTAAGGGGTCTTTACTAATATGTGCTAGAAGCATGCTGTTAAGAATTGTAGGCATTGGTTTGCTATATATGTATTGTTTATTTCTATTTCTAGACTTGGTCGTGGGAGCTTTTGGTGTTGACAAAGTTGCCTTATATAGGTGAGTGCTATTAAAAAGGCTGGGATCAAGAGTTACCAGGTATTGAAATAGAGATGATATTCTGGGCTGCATCAAGCCAAGTAGATTTCAGGACATGTTGCTTACTTTGAGGTTATAGCAGAAATATCAGATATCTTCTGTGCTCACTTTGTAGCAGTTTAGCAGTCCTGCAGCCAGCCCTGGCATATGAGGAAGGCAAGGGGTCTCTGCTATCTCTTGTATTCTGCTCATGTCTCATACTAGCAGCTAGAAAAAGAGCAGCAACTTCAGCCATGATGCCACTATGCCAGTGTGCAAACCAGGACTTACTCACAAGGCCTATGTTTATTTTTTGAAGCAAACTTTTGGACATTGTCATGGCTTTCCTCGGAGGCTGAGAGAGTGTGACTCATCCAAGATCACCCAGTGGGTTTCTATGTCTGAACGGGGAATTGAACCCTAATCTCCAATGCTTAGACTACTATGCCAGACTGGCTTTCTGTTGAATTGACATTGTCATGTGTATAATTCAGGATTGTGACCTAACTCTCTTCTTTTTGCTTTTTCTTGTACTTAATTCTTTTCACTCTGCTATCATATGATCTTGATTTGCATCTTGGTGCTTTAAGTGACTGGGACATTTGATATAGGAGTAGAATGGAGTGTGGAATATTTTGCTCTCCAGTTGTTTTGAGTTACAGTTCCCAAAATTTCTCACTATGGTCGCTTCCAGGGATTTGGACACCAAACAAGTGGAGGGCAAAATATTCGTAACTCATGTGGTAGAAGATTGTATGGTTTTTGTTGCTTGTGAATGTCCCTTTTTACTTACGGTTTGATTCTTTCAAAAGGGCCCGGCCAGTCATCACTGTAAATGCTGTACTGGAAGTTACACCAGCAATTCTAAACCCAGAAGACAAATCCTGTGAAGACAATGGCCAGAAATTTTCTTGGTAAAGTAACTTGTTACTAACGCTCTGCTGTAATGTTTAATGGTCAAAATGAATCTTGAAATCTTAATTAACAGACCTCAGAATCTCCTCATTTGGCCAAAGAGTAAGATTTGTGTTATTTTCTCTTTGGGAAAAAAAATAGATTGGGACTGCTTTGCTTTTGAGTTTCCCTCCTTGCTGAGCAGCAAACATAAGTGCCTGTCTTTATTTTCTGTTGGTAAACTATGGTGAAAGATGTTAATTTTGTGTTGTGTTGTGTGGAACCCCATTGGAACCACCACCACTGTCACTAAGGCCTACACTATCATATAATCTAGTTTCTGAATCCAGATTATCTGATTTGAACTGGATTATATGGTAATGTAGACTCATATAATCCAGTTCAAAGTAGATAACCTGGATTCCGAAACTGGATTATATGATAGTATAGATCAAGCCTGAGTGAACCTTCTAAACCAGTTGTTCTCAACCTGTGGGTCTCCAGGTGTGTTGGCCTACAACTCCCAGAAATCCCAGCCAGTTTACCAGCTGTTAGGATTTCTGGGAGTTGAAGGCCAAAACATCTGGGGACCCACAGGTTGAGAATCACTGTTCTAAACCCACTTAAAAGAGGGTATTATCTGGATTATATGGCAGTGTAGATCCAGCCTGAGTAAACTTTCTAATAAGCCCTCTTGAAAGAGAAGGGGACCAACCCAAGGCAGAACAAGCTCCGATAATAATAAATGAAATAATTTACTATCTGAACACTGACATTAAATAAAAGATTGCTTGTCGTATCCAGAAGACCATGATCTAACTGCCACCCCTTTGTACTATACTGGAATGGAGAATGTGTTCCTCGGAAATTGAACAATTTATGCAAGGGCCAGACTCTGGACTAGATTTAGGCTGGCTCTACACTGTAGAATAGATGCAGTTTGACACCACTTCAACTTCCATGGCTTAATGCTGTAGAACCTAGCACTTTTTTTTGGAAGAGAAGGCTACAGACCTTGTCAGACTACAGCTCCCATGATTCCCTAGCATTAGACCGTGACAGTTAAAGTGTTGTCCAAATGCATCAATTCTACAATGTCAATCAACTCTTAGAAGCATGGGTTGCTTGTGCATTATCTCTTGCCATTTGCTTCAGATGTCTCATGCTACTCTTGGGCTGCTTTAAATTTTTAATGGAAATACTATTTTGCAGTTGTAAGAGCAGCTCAGATATAAAATCTGGAAGTTCATTTCTGTTGACAATATTTTTAATAATTAAAAGTGGAAGGAAGAGAGATCCGGTCATCTGAAAATGTGTTTAAGCCCAGTGGTTTCATTGCAGTCAGTAACACACACACAGCTAGATCTTACTGATAGCTGTGGGAAGTGAGGTCTGGCAATGCACTTGTCCATTTGTGGTATTTGGTCACTGTAGCGTGGCCTATCTTTTCACTGAAACAGGTTGTGTTTTCATCATTTCTTAATTTTCCCCAACAGTTTCAAAGTGAAGTTCTGCTTGAAAGCTGAGGGCAAAGGAAATCTCCCCAGGGAGCTCAGTAAGTCATGCGGATTTATTTGTTATTCACTGAAGCTCATTATGTCAAGAGTCTTTGAATATCTGCAGTAATTTAATGGGTAAAGGTGGTGTTTCTTTGACGAACCAATGTCAGGCATACACACACAGAGTCACACTAAAGTTGTTCTCAGAGAACAGGAAACAGCATTGTGTTGGATTGCAGGCTAGAAAAGAAATACCTTGCTCAAGAGATCCCCAGAAACTGGGTCCACCTGCACTTCTGTGCTTCAGGGTCTCAGTAAGGCTTTGTGCTCTTGGAATAATATAATTATGAAAGGTTGCACAGAGGATGCAAACCATAACTTAGGTGGGATGCAGTAGCAGGTGGTGAAGAGAGATATGGTTTGGTGCCAGTGTTGCAGTGGTGTCAGTGAAAATGCTACAGGAGCAATAGAAGGTGGGAAATATACCATCCCAACACTAGGATGATGAATCATCTCTTGATTTTACTGCTTCTCCTCCTGCCACATCTTCTTGCTCCAAAATAAGCAAGAGTTCTGGATCTCTCAAGGGATATGATCCAGTGTTGGGAGAGAAGGCTTAGAATATCTCCAGACATGTGTGACAAATAAGTGGAGCAAAAAATCCTGGTACCTGACAAGTCTAAACACAGTCCCGGGAAAATGGTCCCCCACCATCCTGCCACCTTGTTTTTTTTGCGAATTTTATACCTCCACAAGATGGACAGGGAACATCTGGTGGAAATTTACTTTTTTTTAATTGACTCTCCAAGATGCACTGGGCCTCATATGTGCACATGTGGATATCTAAATGAAGACAAAGGCAGATTTCGTATTATCTCTCTTCACCCTACTGTAAAATCAAGCTCTGTTTAATTTCATAAAGATCAGAACATAGGAATGCTTCCAGAGAGCTCTCATTGTAATTGCTTTCCACTTGTGCTTCTGCTTCGCCACCTGTGTGTCCATGGCTCCATTTGTTACAGCTCAGAACAGCTGTTTCAGGATTTTGAAATGTGGACATGTGCTGGAGCAGTCCATACCACAGAATACGAACAAAATCACATGTTTTCCTTGACTGCAGGGGTATTCAGTGATGCAAATATGCCTATTTTTCAGCCAAAATTGGGTTTTAAGCACACCTTTTAACACGTATTTTTCAGCTATTAATCTGAATCAGTGCACATTTTCATGAAACAAAATTGGTAAAAATGGAGTTTTTCATTCTTTAAAAGAATTCCTGCAAAAATAGGGGGGAAATGCTAATGCACCATTTTCTTTATGAATGAGGACTTTGCTTAAGGCAAGGTGTTTACATATTTACTGCTCCCTAATTGTTTCTAAAATTATGTAAGAGTAAGAAGAGTTTTATTTAGTCACGTTGAATCTCAATTAAGAGATGTCAGCAAGATATAATTAAATAGTAGTAGGAGGAGATGACTATGTTACAAAAAAAAAACCAAAGAAGAAATTCCAGTACTATATTGTTGAAAAAGTGATGTATGTTGACAAATGAGAGCCAGTAGCTTGAGTCTCTATGGCTCCAGAGACCAATGTATGAATCTTTGCTTTACCATGGAAACTCACTGGGTGACATTGAGCAAAGTCACATTTTCTCAGCTCAGGAGAAGGCATTGGCAAGCCCCTTCTGAACAAATCTTGCTAAGAAAATCCCGTGAGAGGTTCACCTTACTTACCGTCATCATATATAGGGAATGACTTGGCACAACAACAAACGTAGACATGAAGTAGATACCATTTGTAGCCAGTGTCATGCAGGTGCACAGCTGCTAACTGACTACAAGCACCAGATGAAGGTACAGGAATTTATGATAGCCGTCCTTAGTGGTAGCAGCCCCATAGAGTAGAGTAGAGCAGAATAGAATGACTTTATTGTCATTGTACATCATACAACAAAATGAAATGTCATCCCTAATCACATTATATTTGTAGAATTACAAAACAAAGCACACATCCTTTCACATTCTAATTGTTGGAGCTCAGCCTGTAATTATGTTTAAGGATCAGGGTACTTTGGATTTGGGAAATGATGACAATGATTTTCATGAAGGTAATGGTATTTCCAATGATATTAATGCAGAGAATGACCAGGAGATCCCTGTGTATTTTCTCATGAGAATGTTCCTGAAGGGTATGGGGATGATGGTGTGCTCCTGAATTGCTACCAGAGAATTCCCATGATTTGGAACTTGAGAACAGCTCAGCACCTGGCCCAGCTGCAGAATTAATGAGCAAATAGATAGATGGGATGTTATTAGTCAGAACAGGAAAACAGATCAGTGCCTCAGACGTTCTGCCAGGCTCAAAGAAAGATTGATAAGGGATTCAAGGCTAAAACGAAACCCATTTCTGGCCACTTGGGACATAGCGTAATGAGGAGATACAGGATCTGTAGTCAGATGAAGGATCGTTTGGAATCAAGTAAAGACCTCGTTCCTGTTCCTTGGAAGCCTTGCTTTGGAAAGATTCATGTGTTAAATGCCTTTGATTCTTGGATTTTACGACCATGTGTTAAGTGCCTTGTATTCATGTTTCCAGTTTTTGGATTTTACTATAGAAGTTTCTGCCTTTGTTTTTCATGAACTTTGATGGACTAATTTTCTAGATTATTTTTTCCAGTTTTATCTTCCTACAAAATTGGATTTACCTATTCCTTTAAAGTGCTTTTTACTATTACTGCTTTTAATTTTCTTCAATAAACGGATTTTATTTCTATTCAGCTGTGTGGTGTTTAAAGTCAGAGGGCTTTTCCTGGTCTAGAGTGCAACACTAATCACTATTGCGCTATCTCTAATTCTACATCAATGTGAAATTGCATTCAATATAGTCACAGTCTAGGATAAAAACTATCTCCCAGCCTATTTGTCCTTGTTTTTATTATCCTATACCATCCACCAGGTGGTAATAATTAAAAAAAAGAATATCCAGGGTGAGGTGAATCCTTAAGAATATTTTGAGCTTTCTTAAGGTAGTGGATATTATAAAATTCTTCCAAAGAGGTGAGAGGGCAACCAATAATTCTCTGAGCAGTAGTTGGTAACCTTCAGGTTGGATGCCTCTGGACAGCGTCCCTGGCCAGTTCTCATTTCCCACCAATAAGAGTGTTAGGTTCTCCTTGGGTGCTGCTTATTCATTACCAGCTCTGCTATTTCAGTATACCATCTTGCTGTTGTTTCTGTGGTTGGTCCTCAAGGTTGCTCAACTGAACTGTTTTTGTGATTATAGCTTTCCACGTGGAGTTGCTGTTGGACAAACTGAAGCAAAAAGGGGCCATAAGGAGAGCTCTGTTCTTTCACAGTAGGCAGTCTGGTCACTCCAAGAACATGACGGTCCCAAGAGGAGGTCGGATGAGTTGTGAAGAACTTCAGGCTTTCTTGAGGGTAAGAGGACACAACCCAGTTCTTTCTCCCTCCTATAACACTATGCAACAATATTTGAAATATTTTCTCTTACTGGTTTGAAAGTGTTATTTCCCGTTTACTTGTATGATACTTACTTGGAAAATAGTTGTTGTACCCCATAAACTTCGTTTTTGTGGTTACCACAAACTATGTTACATTGGTTGTAGACTTGATGAGATATTCATTGAAAAACTATAGCAAAACATGCTGCTGGATGTCCTGCAAAAACAAAATTTTTGCAGTTTAATAAATGTTGAGGGAGGAGGGAGGTGCAGCATATAGTTCAGTATGCTTTCACATGTTCCGATAGGTTTGATATAATTGTGCAATAAATTGTGCAAAACAAGTTATTTTATTGTATTTTTAAAGCTCTATTTTTTCCTTTTAGGATGAATCTGAATTTAGAGACAAGCTTACACCAATCACAGTCTTTATGGAATATCAACTAGATTACAAAACGGCTTCTGATTCTACAGGCTTACAGCCCATCCTCAACATATTTACTCCTGCAAATATTAGCAGACAGGTATAGTTTTTCCTAACATTAATTTTTGAGGGATTCTGCAAAGAAATATAATTGGTTTGTGAATTCTGCTGAGAAATGTAATCTGGCCCATGTAGCTATGCATCTTAGTGTTCTTTGGTCCCATGGATGTAGGATTGGGAAGGATATGGAAGTCTGATTTCCATATCTCAGAAGAAGATTATCCTTAATTATGACATTTCATTTCCCCATAACTCTGGGCAGGTAACAAGAGATACTGCCATTTGGTGGTGGTGGTGGTGGTGGGGGGGGACTTAAATTACTAGGACCCCCTTGGAGTAAATGGAGAATAAATTTTCCACATTAAGAGCCGTGGTGGTGCAGTGGTTTAAACCCTTGTGCCGGCTGAACTGCTGACCTGAAGTTTGGGTTGCTGACCTGAAGGTTGGCAGTTTGAATCTGCAAGACAGGGTGAGTGCCCATCTGTCAGCTCTAGCTTGCAGGGACATGAGAGAAGCCTCCCAGTGGGATGGTAGCACATCTGGGTGTCCCCTGGGCAGTGTCTCTGTAGACAGCCAATTCTCTCACACCAGAAGCAACTTGCAATATGTTCTCAAGTCACTTCTGACACGATAAAAATGTTTTGATTCAAAGGGAAATTATTATCTTCAGTACCAACTAGCATATGTACACAATTCTCTTTAAAAAGCAAGGAAACTGTTCTCATTTTACTGTTCCCCCTTACCCAAAGATTGTTCACATGTGAAGATTTGCATGTTATTAGTTACTTAGGTACTTACATTTTCAAAAATGCAAGGGATTGTATCATCCACAAAATATTGTAAAGACTCGGAACAATGAAAAGACTCAAGTACTTTATTTTCCTCTATTTTTCAAATTCAGGCTCATATTCTTTTGGACTGCGGTGGTGACAATATATGCCAGCCCGACTTGCAAGTGACTGTTGACAGGTAAAGACTAACAATTGTGATGGAAAAGATTGTAAACAAATCAGTTTGGAGAATCATACGTTAGTTTAACGAATAAACTAAGATATTAATGAACCCTTTGCAATCCTTCTGATAGCCATGTAGAAGTACGTGAGAGGAAGTCACAGGGAGGAGGGAGCAAGCTTGTTTTCTGCTGTCCTAGAGACTAGGACATGGAACAATGGCTTCAAACTACAAGAAAAGAGATTCCATCTGAACATGAGGAAGAACTTCCTGACTGTGAGAGCCGTTCAGCAGTGGAACTCTCTGCCCCGGAGTGTGGTGGAGGCTCCTTCTTTGGAAGCATTTAAACAGAGGCTGGATGGCTATCTGTCAGGAGTGCTTTGGATGCAGTATTCCTGCTTCTAGGCAGGGGGTTGGACTGGATGGCCCATGAGGTCTCTTCCAACTCTATGATCCTATGATTCTCCTCTTTTTCCTTCATAGCTTGAACAATGACTCTCAGAAGTGTCTACCTGCAGGTTCCATTCTCATTCAAACTGGGATGAAATCTGTGATTTTAAGATGCATTTCAAAACAACCTGGGATATTAAACTAACTTCACACCATGGTTTAATGTCCTGATGTATTCGGAACCATGCTTAATGAGAGACTTAATTACTCACGGAGAAACAAAAGAGAAAAATGCCTGGGTTAAATGGCTTGTTTAAGTCTAGAATGATCAGTTGTTTTTATCCAAATGCAGCCATTGTGGGGCATGTGTCAGCTAAACGTGTTGTAACACAAGATCTAAAATTGGATGTTGAGTTCCAGTGCTGCAGTGTTAGAGGAAGATTAAATGTTGCAATGCAATGCATATGACAGTATTCTAGAAAAAAAACAAAAACAAAAGAAAAGGAGGATGAGAAAGGAGATTTAGATCAGCAAAATAACAGGTCCTTAACCATTCTGGATTTTTTTTATCCTTTAAGGAACTTTGACCCCTGTAGAATTTCAAATTCATAGGTAAAGGTAAAGGTTTCCCTGTGACTTTAAATCTAGTTGTGTCTGACTCTGTGGGGTGGTGCTCACCTCCATTTCTAAGCCAAGGAGCCGGCGTTGTCCATAGACACCTCCAAGGTCAGTTGACCGGCATGACTGCAGGGAGCACCATTACCTTCCCGCCAAAGATGTTTCTATTGATCTTACTCACATTTGCATGTTTTCGAACTGCTAGGTTGGTAGAAGCTGAGGCTAACAGCAGGAGCTCACCCCACTCCCCGGATTTGAACCACTGACTTTTCGGTCAGAAAATTCAGCAATTCAGCAGTTTAACACACTATAAATAAAGATGTTGGAACCTATAACAGGGAAAGATAGTTGGATGCAGTACGTGAATCAGACTTGTGACAGTTCATCTCTCCCCCCTTTTCTCTTGCTTTTATTTCTCTCTTCTAAATTAATCCATATTTTTGCCTTAAAGAATAAATAAGCAATCTAAAAGGCACTGGAACATTATAACATGTATTTGTTTATGGTATTCCCTTCAAAACAAGAGATTTGTTCTTTGATGTTTTATCCAGCAGAGGTCAGCACTGTTTCTGTGTATGTGAAGTCTGAACCTCTAAGAAGATCAAATTTACCTTGAACAGATAGTATTTCAGACCTCAGAGGCTTTGTAGCTTTGACAGGCTTCAGGCTGAAGTTCAGCTACCTCTAGAGGTTCACATGTTCCTTGGGGGGAAAGTAAGCTCAATCAATTCCTTCCTCATTTGGTTTTGTGCAGTGATCAGAAGCAGATCTATGTTGGAGACGACAACCCTTTAACTCTCATCATCAATGCCCAGAACCTTGGAGAGGGAGCCTATGAAGCTGAACTCTTTGTCACCGTCCCACCTCAAGCAGACTTCATTGGCATCGTTCGCAACAATGAGGTAAGCATCTCACTCATGTTGCAAGTAGCGCTGTTGTATAGGGCAGTTGTACAGTTAAGTCTACACTATATGTCATATCAGTTTCAAAGTATTATTTCATTTATTTGAACCTTCCTGAATGTTTATAATGATTGGGATTTTGGCTGCTAGCAAAAAAAAAATGCTACGCAGGAGGATTGTTGTGAAATATAGTTAATTTGCTTGATGGCCCATGGGCAGTTTGTCTGTGGTAGCAAGACATACTTTTATACTTTCATTGGGGAGATCTGGCTGTGAGCTCCTGCATACTTCCTAATATACACTAGTTCGGGGAATGCCAAATCTCCCGCAAACACAAATTCAGATAAATGATTAGCATATATATATATCTTGCACTCAATTCTGGACATGGGAGAAGGGCAAGGTTCGCCAAGTCAATAGGGAGAATCTGATAGCTACCTCAGGCAGCAAAGTTTAGCTAGCAAATATGTTGTGTCCTTATTTTTTGTTGCATTTTTACTTCCATGTGTGTAAGGTGCTTGTGTGATTTACTTTCATATACAGCCTTGACTATTTCAGTTGTAGACAGGAGCAAGTATGGCTGTCATTAGCTGTTCTGCCTTAGAAAGCAAAATGTCTTGGGCCAGCTCTACCTCTGAGTTTCAGTATTCGTGGTGAATAGCAGTACAGACAGTCGCCGAGTTATGAATTGATGCAATTTTTTACTTTCATTTAAAAAAATAATAAAGCAGATTCTGAGGATAACCATGGCCTCAAAAGACATTATTGTTTTGTGATCCAAGTTCCCTTGGGGGCCATGAAAATGGCTTTGGGAACTTTGTGAACCTCATGAGCTACATGGATACTCCATGTGCTTTATGCTTTCATGTACCAATGTAATGTGTCTTTTCAATATCTTTGCCTAATGTACCGTCATTTTCCATATTTGTGGAATTGACTTCCATAGATTTGATTAGTAATAGATTTGATTTAAAATGTTTTCTCTAGGAATCTTTATGTCCTCTAGTATTACTCTGCCTACTTCTCTACCATCCATGCTGGAGAAACTAGAAATTTCTTTTAAAAAATAGCTTTCTGGGAATCTCTGGGGCCCCCAATGTGATTCTATAACAGGCATGGGCAACCCCCTTGGGCTCTTCGTGGCCCTCATCTGCCTCAGCCTTACTCTCAGCATGTAAACGCGGTGGCACGGCCTATCTCCAGGCTGAGAAGAAATCTGAGGCAAAGACATGCAGTTGTGGAGAGCTCTCCTGGGAGCTTTCAGCAGCCATTTGTCTCCTTTTCCTCTCCTCAGGACATGATGGGCCGCCATGTCCCCAGGCCAAGAGGAGAGCAGGGGGTTGCCGAAAGCTCTCCCGAGCTCTCCTCTCTGCAGCTACATGTCTCCTCCTCTCATCCTGGGGAACTGGTGGCTGCCAGCTGTCCTGCTGCCAGCCCTCATTCCAACCACTACTGCACCAACTGCCCCCTCCCTGTGCCAACTGCCCTCGATCTCACCACTGCCCTTTCCCTCCCAGTCCAACCTGCCCAGTCTCCTCCACCCCGCAATGTGGCCCCCACCAAGTTTGCCCTTGCCTGTTCTATAACCTGCTTCTCAGAATAGAATCATTCTGGAAAATCTAGACATTCCTAAAGAGGTGTTCTCTTGGGTAAAAAAAATAAATCTTTATTTGCAGTTTTTCACTTCCATGGGGATTCTGTGCCCATAACTCCATGTGGAGAACTGACTGAATATTTTAAATAAGGAAAAAGTGTTTGACAGGTGGTCCATCTACACTGCAGAATTATAGCAGTTTAGCACCACTTTAATTGCTATGTCTCCATCGTATAAAATCCTGTATCTTACCAAACTACAAATCCCAGTATTCTGTAGCATTGATCCATGACAGTGAAATGGCTGTAATTGTTCGGAATCATTACAGCCAAAGGGAACCATTTTCTTTCCCATAAGGTTTCACTGGTTCTGCTTAGTCCTATCTATCCTAGCTATTTTATTTCTTCCCTCAAAACAAATCGCATGGTGTCCATGACCAGTGTGGACCTGGCAGCTGACACTATAAAACTGGATGATCCTTGCCTTCCACTGTCTGGCAGGAGGGAGCAAGCTGCTCATGACTGAGCCGGTCTGCTGAGATAAAGCTATTTCTGTTGAGGCGCTTAGAGCCACACATTTGGTAATTGAATTAATTCAGGCTGATCTTCTTATAGCTTGGAGCAATTCCAAGAGACTGGCACTAATGTTGGATTGTCCCTCTTCTCCTCCCATAGGACCTTAACATAAGTATGAAAGACTCTGTGAAATTCACCTGAAAATTCCGTCTTGAAAAAAAAATTTAACTAAAGGCTACTCATTACTTTATGTTATAGTTATTTTTTAACGAGACGGGCATCTTTGTCTCACTTTGACCTTTTGCTTGAATAAAGGAATGTTTGAATATATCAGACTACATTGGGGAATTTACAATCTTGACAACTGAAAAGTTCTGCCATCTTATTTGTGCTGTATCTTTTTATATTTAGACTTGGAAAATTTGACATGCCTAGAAAACGTCTATTTTTATCTTTTTGTTCTTTTTGGAAGGATAGAAAGTATGATATTGTTATTTGAAAACCTTTCCCTTTACCTCATTGCAGGCTTTAGCAAGACTTGCGTGTGCCTTTAAAACTGAGAATCAGACTCGGCTGGTTGTCTGTGACCTTGGAAATCCTATGAAAGCAGGGACAAAAGTAAGAATGGGCATCTGCTTGCTTGCTTATGTTAATAACAAAACAGAGAAGCCGATGGATAGTGGGGGGAAAAGCGTGCTAGATTGGGGCTGGCATTATATAATGTTTAGATCATTTGGTGCCTCAAATGTTTGACCCGTTTCTTCATATATTTGACCTCCTGATTCCAAAAACTGTACCAGTTTCCCCATATCAGCTCTAGTTTTTGGCTTTTTGAGATATAGAACATATGCCATCTACCAGATGCCATCTGCTCATCCGTAGAAAATCATTATAATCATACCGATGAAACTAGAACTGATGTGGTCTATCCAATGCAATTTTCTGAATCTGTATCCCAAATCATGCCAGGAATGGACCTAAAAGCCAAGACAGCAAAAAAATAAATAAATGGAGGGGGGCTGTAAAATAGATCACAGTACACCAGCAGTACATTGGCTGCTTTGTTGTTGTTGTTGTTGTTGTTGTTGTTGTTATAGTTAAATAATAAAATATATTATTATTATATTTATTTGTCTCCTAATTTTCTTCAAGACCAAGATCCAAAGTAGCTCACCACCTTAAAAACTATGCCATTAAAAAAACTACAAAATAAACATTGAACTAAATGGGTTGCTGTGAGTTTTCTGTATGGCAGTGTTCCAGAAGCATTCTCTCCTGATGTTTCATCAACATCTTTGGCAGGCATCCTCAGAGGTTGTTGGAAACTAGACAAGTGGGGTTTATATATCTGTGGAATAATGTCCAGGGTCCTTTGCTGAACGTAGCATTTGTTGGATTTCTTCATCAGCTTCCCTGTGCGGTCAGTGATTCCCTTGATGTATGGTAAGGACACTTTTCGTCTGGGTGGATCTTTGTCTTTACTGATGAAGAAACACAACCTAAAACCCACTGAGAAAATCCAACAAATGCTACATTCAGCAAAGGACAACAAGGATCTTCTCATCTCTGCAGGAGTCTACTGTATACTATGCAGCTGTGGACAAGTCTACATAGTGACCACCAAATGCAGCATTGCCCAGAAATGAATCAAAGAACATGAAGACTACTTCAACCAGAGAAGTCAGCCATAGCAGAGCACCTGATGAACCAACCTGGACACAGAATTTTATTTGAGAACACAGAAATGCTGGACCACTCTCACAACCACCATGTCAGACTACACAGAGAAGCCATTGAAATCCACAAGCATGTGGACAATTTCAACAGAAAGGAGGAAACCATGAAAATGAACAAAATCTGGCTACCAGCATTAAAAAACTCAAAAACCGGGATGGTAAATAAAGAACACTCAGAAGACGGGAATTCCAGACAGGAAACAATCAGGGCCAGCTAACATCCCCCAACCAAGGATTCCCAGGCAGGAAGCAGCCAGGCTTTGAAGCTGCAAGGCCAATTCAATGCTAATCAAGGTGGCCAATTGCAACATTCACACTGCCCTCAACAGACAAGAGTTCTTTCTCCCACCCTGGACATTCCACAGATATATAAACCCCACTTGCCTAGTTTCCACACAACCTCTGAGAATGCCTGCCATAGATGTGGGTGAAATGTCAGGAGAGAATGCTTCTGGAACATGGCCAGACAGCCCAGAAAACTCACAGCAACCCAGTGATTCTGGCCATGAAAGCCTTCGACAACAAATTGAAATAAATGTTAACAATTATTAAACTTATTCAGTTAAAATCTCCTTAAAATTTATAAGTAAAACATTGTCCTTCAAAAACAGTGTCCATTCTTAAAAATGTTTCTGCTGTGAAATAAGAAACGCAACAGTCAGGCACAAGCCAACCTCTCCTGCCTGTTAACAATATTAAAATCCTGTACTTCTTCTCTTGCTTTCCAGCTCTCAGCTGGCCTTCATTTCAGCGTTCACCAAGAATCAGAGATGGACACCTTTGTGAAGTTTGACTTGCAAATCCGTAGGTAAGGAACCTTTACTCCCTGTGTTTGTTTACCTACCTAATATAGTGGTTATTTAAGTGGATGGACAAAAGAAGTAGAAATTATGGTGGTCAGTGAAACTCGCATTACTGTTAAGTCTCAATTAGTACTATGGAAACTGGGAAGGGAAAATTTATCCCATAGGCCAGGGTCTCTTAAACTTTTACCTGTAGCCTTGGATGTGATTTCCGCATATAAGATTGTCTGCTGTCTCTTCCAAAGCTGCTGTTTTGAAATTGCACTACTTGTGCCAAGTCGGACTTTTGTGGCTAATCCATTACGTTTTGAACACAGAGCCTTGAATCTTATCTGCCTATATCTGAATGTTTGTGCAGTAAAAGGAAGATATTGATTTGCAAGGCTTTTAACATGAGAGCTATAGACAGAACGGAGAAACAGAGAGAGGGAAAGGCTATCTATGTTCAAGGAATGTTTCAAGTGACTGTTTTGAGCAAATGGAAAATGAAAACATCAGGTCTTTCTATCATCCATAGCACCCTTCTCTGGGATAGTAGTTTGGGGGGGGGGGGTTCATTCTGGAGTGTGAGGGGGTCTAACCTAGATATGGGTCTTACGAGAGAATGGTTAGTTTTGGGAACACATTCTTTGTGCATTCCATTCACCAACTGTTTGTTTTGTCAAGAGTACAGAACTGGAATTTCTCTCTGTTGCTGTTTTGCAGCTCAAACCTGTACAACAATGAAAGCCCCACGGTTTCATACCAAGTGGACTTAGCCATCTTAGCAGCAGTAGAAATCAGAGGGTGAGTCTTGACCCTGTCACCAGTTTTAGCCACTGGCTTGTTCTCTTTCTTTGATGACACTATGTAATAAAACTTGAAAAAAAATCCCATTTAATTATGCAGTGCTTACTTTGAAAGTAGTTGTTATACTCCAGAAACTTCATTTTTGTGGTGCCACAAATTATGTTGAATTGATTGAGAGTCCATGAGATATTCATTGAAAAACTATAGCAAAAGGTGCTGCAGGATGTCTCACAAAAACAAGGTTTTGGCAGTTTAATAAATCTTTCCCTTTTCTGTATGATAGACCTGATTAGGAAATGACATTTATAACCCAGGAACAAAAGTCATGTCACATAGTGTAATTGTATGTCTTGCACTGTGTCCTTTCTGTCTGGTCCTCACTGTTGGCTCTTTGGACACCTTAGGGTCTCTTCACCTGATCACATCTTTCTTCCAATTCCTAACTGGCAACCCAAGGAGAATCCAGAAACAGAAGATGACATTGGGCCCCTGGTTCAACATATCTATGAGGTAAGTGTCGTTTAGAGGGTAGCCAATGAATAAGCAAGGGGATATGTTTGACCCTGCAGATGCTTTAGCCTACAGTTCTCATAAGCCTCTCTTGTGCAGGCAGGACTGCTGATCGAAAGGTCAGCAGTTCAAATCTGGGGAGCTGGGTGAGCGCCCGTCTGTCATCTCCAGCTTCTCATGCGGGCACATGAGAGAAGCCTCCCACAGGATGGTAAAACATCCGGGCGTCCCCTGCTCAGTGTCCTTGCAGACAGCTAATTCTCTCACATCAGAAGCGACTTGTAGTTTTTGAAGTCACTCCTGACACGAAAAAATAGTTTTGGATATAGGAATTATAATTCAAAGCATTGGAGATTCAAAGTATAAATTGTGCATGCTTAACATGCAGGGATTATTTTTACGAGAGGGCTAATCACATGACCCTATGGGCTGTAAACCTTTTTAAAAAAATTAGCAGAACTAATTGAAGATTTTGCTTGAATCCAGTTATCTTGTGTTGCATTGTCAACCTAAACACAGTCCACTCTTCTGTTGCTGCCTCTTTTTGAACAATGGAACAGAGAAGCTAAAAAGAAAACATGGTCCATCAGTTAGGTACTGTGCTTTCCAACTAGTTGCCAGTCTTCAAGGAAACTCATAAAACTGAGTATTTATCCAGCCTCTGCAGTGTATATGAGCTTTTCTAACACAGCTTATACACAAAACTTCCCGATTTACAAAGTAAATGCTTTTTAAAAACTATATAACTGTGATACAACAGACATCTTGTCATTCATTTCTTAATCCCAAAATATTGAGGAAACAATATCTTTGAAGCACAATTTATAATTTCTTAAGTGGCAATGTTGAAAATGTTAGTGGCATGAACAGGAATATCTTAATTGCATTAGGTACTTTCCCCCAAATTGGTCAAGTTCCTCAAACTCATGAAACCCAAAAGAGCCACTGAGAACCCTTGCACAAACTCTTGTTTTCCTGCATGTCTTGTCTCATCTCTTTTGTAGAAATGCTTCAACAGTCCTTTGTCTAAAAGCGCAATGTTGTCACATATATGGTGCCGAGTGACATATTTTGGAGATAGTGGAGATACAATAGTGTGGGAATCATGAGCATTGTTTCCAGTTGTATGGTACCTGAGGGATTGAGGAGAGGTTGGGGTCATAATCCAAAGAAAGAAATTTTCCCAGGCGACGAGATGCTTCCTGGTTAAGTCAATAATCTTTGAAGTCGCTAGGAATTACAGAAATAAGCCTTACCCTTTTGTTGAAGAGATTAAAGATATAGGAACATAATAAGTCCAAGAAGATACATTATTGCAAGAGTGAAAAAGAAAATTCCTCATTGCCATTTTTACTTTTTTTCACCAGCTCCGAAATAATGGCCCAAGTGCCTTCAGCAAAGTGATGCTCAACCTTCAGTGGCCTTACAAGTATAACAACAATACTCTTCTGTATATTATCAAGTATGAAATAGAAGGACCCATGTCCTGCACCTCGGATATGGAGATTAACCCACTAAAAATAAAGGTAAGAGGAAAGTCTCTTTTATATGTGGAGCAAGCTTTTCTGTACGAATTAAATTATGAGGATTGTTGTTAATAATTATTATAACATTCTTTGTTATTATCATCATCATAAAAAAGGTTTAAAAACCAATTGTTAGTAGGATACTAGTTTGTGGGCCCCCAGAACAGGATTGATTAATGCAATCGGTAGTGTTGCTTATAAGAGCTGACACATCTGAAAAAGTATAGCTGAGGGAATCAGTTTCTTCATTGGAAAGGCTTCCCTGGAAGATGTGTGAGCCATTGTTGTGGCTACCAATGAGTGAAGTGTGATACTATAGCAGCTGTGGGGATATTACATGGGATCTTGGCTGGTATTTGTCATTGTTGTACTTTGTGGTGTGCCTTGGAGGATGCAGAGAGACTAGCCCCATGGGACCAGATCTTTGTATGGGTCATAAATTCCAGTTTACAAGCAGTCCCCAAGTTTTGAACAAGATAGGTTCTGTAGGCTTGTTCATAATTTGAATTTATATGTAAGTTGGAACTGGTACATATTTATTTATTTATTTATTTCATTTATATCCCACCCTTCTCATCCCAAAGATGACTCAGGGCGGCTTACATTTTTCAAGTGTATCTCCATTTTGGATAGCATAGAGAAAGGTTAACACCCCTGTGGTGTTTGTTTGGCTGTCTGTGCCCCTGTCCAGAAGAATTTCACCTCATTTTCTGTCCCTGTGATGATTGGATTTTGAGAAATTTGGCTTATTGTGGAAACTGTTTTTACTGTTTTAATTAATGTTTTATTTATTGTTTTAATTGTTGTTATATTGCTTTGTTATATGTAGTGGCATTGAATTGTTGCCAAATGTAAGCCGTCCTGAGTCCCCCTTCGGGGGTTGAGAAGGAACGGGATAGAAATACTGGAAATAAATAAATAAAACAAGGATTTGTGATAAAGCTTCAATGAAGACACCTTTCCCCCTTGATGACTCTTTCAGGAGTGAATTTCCTTTCTGAGGGGTAAATTTATCTCACTTCTGGTGTCTTACTCTCATTTTTAATTAGGAGTCATTTGTAAGTTGGATGATTGTAACTCGGGCACTGCCTGCATTTATTTATGTATTTAAAATCACTACATCTAAATCGCCCTTTATCCCCATAGCAGAACAATATGCAAATACATTGACTGAGAAAAAATGAACTGCAAATAATTACACTCCTAGTACTTCTAATACTGTATTTCACTGATTCTAAGATGTACTTTACCTCTACAAATCCAGGCTCAAAAAAGGAGACACATTTTAGAATTGCAGACATCCTAAATTCATGTTGGGGTTTTTTTTAAGAGGATCGGGAACAGCGGCTGAGAGGGCAGGAGGTTTTCCCCAACCCTGCGCCCGATGCTTCCACCACCTCCCCAACCCTGCACCTTTCATGTTGTCGCTGCTATCTCTTAATGCTGGCTTGGTATAGCCAATGCATCTGGCCTCTCCTCTTGGTATCACTTTGGTATCATCGGGTTTGTTTTGAAGAGAGAGGATTGGGGGTGATGGTGGCTGCTGGCTTGGTGTGGCTTCTGCTGTCCATTGCTGCTGCCTTACACTCCTGGCAGACAGGGCTTTCCTTCCTCCCATCCCCTTGCTGCTGCCAGGATTAGATGTTACATGTTTATGTTTTATTTTAAATTGCTTGTATTGTTGTTTGTTGTGATTATTGCTTGTATTGTTGTGTTTGGGCTCGGCCTCATGTAAGCCACACCAAGTCCCTTGGGGAGATGGTAGCAGGGTACAAATAAAGTGTTATTATTATTATTATTATTATTATTATTATTATGATGTTACAAAATGGGAACATAAAAAGTTGCCTTATATGCAATCAGGGCACTGGTTCATATGGTCCAATATTGTCCACTCTGACCTGTAGCCCTGCAGGGTTTTTTCACTCTTGCCCTACTTAGAGATTCCTGATATTCCCTTGTGTTACCTGTGCGAATATTAAGTATGCCCAACCTTCTTAGACCTCTTCTACACTTTCATATAATCAAGACTACAAATCACATAATCCACATTATTGGCACTGAACTAGATTATATGAGTCCACACTGCCATACAATCCAGTTCAAAGCAGATAATATGGATTGTATATACTGGTGTAGAAGGGACCTTTTCTAAAATCAGTTGAGATAGTATATTTTAGAGATATGGTGGGTCCTCTCATCTGTTGGATGATTTGGTAGGCTGAGGTTGACATTAAATGGAAGTCCTCTTCATGGTCAAGGAGAAGGGAATGCATTAATTTAAGGGTCCTTCCACACAGCCATATAACTAAGAAGAATATCAAGGCAGAAAATCCCACAATATCTGCTTTGAACTGGGTTATCTGAGTCCACACTGCCATATATTCCAGTTCAAAGCAGAAAATGTGGGATTTCCTTCAGTTGCGTGGAAGGATCCTAAGGCTCATTCCCATCATTGTAAACCACAGTGGATAAACACATCATTTTCATAATCTCAAACTTTTTATATCCTCCCCATTTCTCTTGAGATCAAATGTTTTGCTTTTCATCAGTTTACAACACCTGTGGGGATACTTGAATAATTACCCTAGTAATTGGATCTGTCTTGATATAGATGTCAGCTTCAGAAGGAGATGAAAAGAATGAGACAATTAATGGGGAAAATACCAGGGATCACAATATCAACCGGAGAGACCTCAGTGCTGCCGAGGGAGATGTGCAAACTTTGGTAAGACTTGTGCTGATTTCGTCAGAAATGATCACTTGCCACTATTTTTGAGAAGTTATAGTTTTCATAATGTTTGTGTTATGAAAAATTGCTTCATACTGCACAATACTGGAAGAAATGTGTTAGCTTGGTTTAGGCTAATTGATGGTTGTGGTGGGAAAGACTGCTGCTACTGAGAAAGCTGATGGAAGGGCAGATAAAACTTTTCTGTTTTATAAATATAGATAATCGATAGAGGCATACTGAATGACTCACAGGGAACTGAAATTTGTCAGGTGCATTCTGATAACAAGAGTAATTGTGTAGTCCAAAGACATTATCCTAAATCCACTTGGTACTCTCAAATAGAATAGACCAAAAGGAATCCATATGAACTCAACTTCTTTACATTCAGTTTATAGAATGGGATTGGCAGTTGAATTTGGATAATTCTGGTTAATCCAAAATCAGATTTGATTTACAAATATATTTCCCTCAGTTGTAAGGAGGAATTCGGAAGTGTGCCTCTAAATTGAGAATGGCCAAAGTGGGCAGTTGTTCAAATGGAGTTTGCTATTGCATTTTCCTGAGGCTGAGAGAGTGTCATCCACAGAGTTTCAACTGCCAAGTATGGATTTGAACTGTGGACACCAGATTCATAGTCCATAGTCCAACACATAAACTACTACTGTACTACCACATCATGATGACTATCACACCATGATTTATAATTAATAATTCTCTGATGATATTTTTCCCCCTCCAACTTGTACCATTATATCTCACTTTAGCTGTCATGACTCCATACATGAAATCCTGGGATGTTAAGAAGTGTACAATTGATAAAGATAATTCTATTACAGCTTCTTGAACTCCAATATTTGAGCTCTCTCTAGCAGAAAATTCTAAGTACCATATGTACTTGAGTATAAGCCTATCCAAATATAAGCTGAGGCATCTAACTTTACCACAAAAAAAACTGGGAAAACATATTGACTTGATTATAAGCCAAGGACGGGAAAGGCGGCATCTACTGGTAAATTTAAAAATAAAAATAGATACCAATAAAATTACATTAATTCAGGCATCAATAGGTTAAATGTTTTTGAATATTTACATAAAACTGAAATTTTGAGATAAGACTGTCCAACTCTGATTCAACCATTATTCTAACCTTCTTCAATGTAAATGTGCTTTGTTGTTCATTCGTTCAGTCGTCTCCGACTCTTCGTGACCTCATGGACCAGCCCACGCCAGAGCTCCCTGTCGGCCGTCACCACCCCCAGCTCACATAGAAGCCAACCAATTGCCGTATATACTCAACTAAAAGCTGACCCAAATATAAGATTTTACCACAAAAAAATTAGGAAAACGTATTGACTCAAGTATAAGCCAAGGGTGGGAAATGCAGCAGCTACTGGCAAATTTCAAAATAAAAATAGATACCAATAAAATTATTTATTTATTTATTTGCAACATTTATATGCTGCCCTTCTCACCCCAAAGGGGACTCAGAGCGACTTACAAGATAGATAGATAGATAGATAGATAGATAGATAGATAGATAGATAGATAGATGGATAGATAGATACATACATACATACATACATACATACATACATACATTGTATTATATATTAGCACAATATCAGTATTATGTGATAAAATTATATTAATTGAGGCATCAGTAGGTTAAATGTTTTTGAATATTTACAAAAAAAATGTAATTCAAGATAAGGCTGCGCAACTCTGATTCAACCATTATTCTAACCTTCTTCAATGTAAATGTGCTTACGTATCTTCCAATAATAATAGAGTAAAATAAATGTAATAATAATAATAAGTAAATAATAAATAATAATAATAAAAATAACAATAATAATAAATAGAGTAAAATATTAACTGTAATAATAATAATAATAATAACAACAACAACAACAACAACAACAAACAACAGAGTAAAATAATAAATAAGCCAAGGGGTACTTTTTCAGCCTAAAACAAGGTCTGAAAATCTCGGCTTATACTTGACTGGATACGGTATTCCTACCAAATTCCAAACCAGATATTCTATTGTGTGAAACCATATAGTAAAAGTAATACAAAACTGCCGGAACTATATGATAGATGTATTCTCTTAATCATAATGAGCATTCCAAGCCACTTCCAGTTTCCTGAAACATATCAATACCATGAGCAAATAATGTACATACTTTGTAGGATAACATTTTCATTGTGTGTGTTGCACTTACAAGAACAATAAAATTCTAATAGAGCACCGCCACAGATTATACACTATTATCATACTTTGTTCTTATTATCTCCATGGTCTTTGTTCTTAGTATCTCCATGTCCCACTTTACATCTGCAATGCCACCCTCTCAACCATTTTTCCCGTAAACATCATTAGGAGGAGCGGGTATTGCATTACCTCAGCCACAGTGGTGTAGCAGGGATTGGATTTTAATGGGCTTTACTAAGGATGATTTAATACCACGTGTTTATTGGACTTCAGATGCCTGTGATCTATGATGTGGAAGCTGCAACACTTGATTTGCCAGCTTGATAAATAAGTCATTGTTCCAAGCATCTCCAAGAATGATAAAGTCAAGGACGCTGGAATTCCAAAAGAAAATGCTGACAATGTCACTTGCTATCTGTGTGCATTCTCTCAGTTCAAAAGTGATGTGTTCAAATAAGACATTGTCGTTATAGGTGTAATAAAAAGAAAGCGGAGAAGAGAAAAATCCGTTTCCTTGGACCAGTCTTAGGTCTGTTCAAATTGTCACATTACAGAGACATTAACCAAAGATGAAAAATGAGCAAACCAATCTGCAGTCTGAATTTGTGCAGTGTCATTTGTAAAAAACCATCACCATATCTGTGCTGAGATGCTTTGGATGTGTGGACTCAGCTTATTCTTCCCATGCTTCTTCCAGAGATAGATGATTATTTAATGAAGGCTCACTGAAGCTCTTGTTTTCCATCCCAATTCTATAAGAGCTTATTTATGCAGACTAGAAATGTGTGTACTTTGTGTGTACTTTTCAAATGTGCACATTATTGCCAGTGATAGGGAACAAATTAAAATCAATGGGATTTTGGCCTGCATAAATAGGAGTATAACATCTAGATCAGTGGTTATTAACCCATCAGATGTGACCCACTGGTGGGCCATGAGACCTAAAATAAGGTCTATGGCTCTAGATTATTAAATATGTTTTTCTGTGGGCGAGCAGATGGCAACTCCTGGATAGCATACGTTCTCTATCAGAAACTAGAGCTGATGTGGTCTATCCAATGCAGTTTTCTGAATCAGCACCCCAGATGACCAAACTGAATCTAAAGTTGACCAAAATTTAATTCGTAATCCTTTTGGTACTAAGGTTGGAGAGTAGTCCCTGGTCAAAGTAGACCCTGATTAACTGGTCCCTGGTCAAAAAAAGGTTGAGGACCACTGGTCTAGATCCAGGGAAGTACTCCTCTATTCTGCTTTGGTCAGACCACACCGGGAACTGCAATTTAAGGGAGATGTTGAACAAGCTGGAATGTGTCCAAAGGAGGGTGACTCAAAGGATCAAGGGCAAGTAGAACTAGCCCTATGAGTAGCAACTTAAAGAGTTGGGCATCTTTAGCCTTAAGAAGAGAAGGCTGAGAGGAAACATGATGAGGGCCATGTATAAATATGTGAGGGGAAGTCATAGGGAAGAAGGAGTAAGCTTGTTTTCTGTTGCCCTGGAGACTAGGATGTGGAACAGTGGCTTCAAACTACAGGAAAGGAGATTCCACCTGAACATGAGGAAGAACTCCTAACTGTGAGAGCTGTTCAGCAGTGGAACTCTCTGCCCCGGAGTGTGGTGGAAGCTCCTTCTTTGAAGGCTTTTAAGCAGAGGCTGGATGGCTATCTGTTGGGGGTACTTTGAATGCAATTTTCCTGCTTCTTGGCCCAAGAGGTCTCTCCCAACTCAATGATTCTATGATTTACATTATACTGTTAGGTTGGTAAATTTCCTAACATGGACAACTCAATTTAGTGTACTGTTAAACTAAAATTATTGATGTACGTAAGTTGTAAGTGCATCATTAACTTCATTCCAGAATTAGATTTAGTACTTCATGACACTAGAGCATGAACCCACTTTAAATCTGGTTTCGGCCTCCTGCAGAATTCTGGGGTTTGTAGTTTAGGGAGGCTGTTCAAGGCAGAAACCAGATTTAAAGTGGATTCATTCCCTAATGTGATGAGGTCCTTAAGTATGAGGAAACAATTTTTATAGTTTCTAGTTGGGCAAAGTCTAGTTTTCTTGGATTTTTGAAAAATTACTTGGTGTTTTTTGTTTTGTTTTTTTTTTGTTAGTCTGTCAAGTTTTGTAAGAATCAGTGAGTTGACACTCAAATCACAATTTTGGAGAAAAGGGTTGAAATCCAGACTCAGCCATGCAAACCCACTGGGCGACGCTGGAGAAGTCACACTCTTTGAGCCTCAAAGGAGGGCAAATACAAATTCTCTCTGGACAATTCCCCCCTCCAAGAAAACCCTGTCATACGGTTGCCATGTCAGAAACATCTCAAAGACCCATAGGAACAACCATAGGTGATGAATTCAGATTTTAAAATATCCAAATGACAAATTATTTCTAAGATGAAAAGGTTTAAAACCAGCAAGTAATGAGGACAACTTGGAGAGCAGTTGTCTCCTTTACGTCTTCTTTGGAGCCAAGTGGTTTGCATGAGAGGAAGTCAAAGGCAAACTTCTTCTGAACGAATCTTGCCAAGAAAACACTGTGAAAAGTACAACATATGTTGGAAACAATTGGATGGCACACGACAACAGCAATTCTCACCGGCCAAAACACAATTTGGTGCATCAAATGTTTGAGTATCTTTGACCTGCTGATTCCAAAAATGGCACCTGTTTTCCCATCTTAACTCTCTTTTTTGAGATATGGAACATATGCCAACTCACCTGTCAAAAACCATGATAACCATATCTAAGAAACTAGAGCGATCTATCCAATGCAATTTTCTGAATCGGTTCCCCAAATAACCCTAGGAACAGACGTAAAAACCAAGACACACAAACATTTTTTTTTGGTGGGGCGGTGTTATTATTTGACTTGTTGTTGATTCAGTTATTAAATTGACCCCCCCAAACTTCTGAGAAATGGGCAGTTGCTTGGGTATGTTGACCCCTTAAGATCAGAGGCATAAGAAGCAAGCCCAAAAGGAATGTTAAAAGCATGTAATTCCGCATCACGAAAAAAAAAAACACTGGTTGGGATTCTCTTAGTGAAATGTGTGTTTGTAAGTGTGGCTCATGCCTATATTTAGCCTTTTCTTTTCTTTCTGTCTGTTTTTTTTCTGGAGCTAAAAGTGCTGTGTGTAGCATACAAAACATTTTCTACTTTCAAATCCATTGCTGGCTACTGGTGACGATGGGAAGAAATGGAGAGGCACTTTAGATGAGCAGAAGGAGTAGCACACCTTATTTGAGCTGGGCTAAATTGTTCCTCAGCTGCATCCCCACTCCCTTATCTCCTACCAGTAAACAGGAGCAGCAGCCCCTCCTGGGTCTTTGCATGTGAGGAGGAGAGGTTTGGATGGGGCATATAGTACTTGAGGATAGCTTCACTTTGAAGAGAATAGAATAGATTCATAGAGTTGGAAGACACCTCATGGGCCATCCAGTCCAACCCCCTGCCAAGAAGCAGGAATATTGCATTTAAAGCACCCCCGAAAGATGGCCATTCATCCTCTGTTTAAAAGCTTCCAAAGAAGGAGTCTCTACCACACTCTGGGGCAAAGTGTTCCAATGTTGAACAGCTCTCACAGTAAGGAAGTTCTTCCTAATGTTCAGATGTAACCTCCTTTCTTGTAGTTTGAAGCCATTGTTCTGTGTCCTAGTCTCCAGGGCAGCAGAAAACAAGTTCACTCCCTCCTCCCTATGACTTCCTCCCACATATTTATACATGGCTATCATGTCTCCTCTCAGCCTTCTCTTCTTCAGGCTAAACATGCCCAGCTCTTTAAGCCGCTCCTCATAGGGCTTGTTCTCCAGAACTACTTGATTCAAGAGCTTGGCTTTTATGTTAGCTGATATAATACAACTGTGTTTTCCTTTCCCCATTTGTAGGGCTGTGGAACTGCTGAATGTTTAAAGATTGTCTGCCAAGTTGGTCGCCTGGAGAGGGGGAAGACTGCAGTTCTGTATTTAAAGTCTCGCCTTTGGACTCAGACCTTCATGAATGTGAGCGGCTTTTTGGATTTCTACAAATTCTCCCTCCCCTCTGTATAATGTATAATTTAATGTTTCTTCTGTATTCTCATTCCAGAAAGAAAACCAGAATCATTCCTATTCTCTCAAGTCGTCAGCTTCTTTCAACGTCATTGAGTTCCCCTACAAGAACCTTCCCTTCCCTGAAGATGTCCACAACTCTACAATAGTAAGCCATTTGATGTGCAGAATTGATTTGACCTGGGGCAGCATAATTAAGCTGAAAAGAATCGTCAAAATGAAATATCCGTCTGATCAGCTGTTCCTTTTTTTACTAAGCAATATTAAATTATTAGTTGTTGGGCTTATTCAGTTTGAGTGCATGCTGCTTAAGCTTTTAATTAAATTTAGACCTTCAATTAAAAGCTTTTGATGTGTCTTCAGATGTTGCTCCATATCAGACTTGGTTGTTTCAGTGAAATGGGTGCTGGCATACAGAATTGGCGTGCCTGCGAACTCAGACAGGCAGTTATGACAACCCACAAATCAAATGTAGCTGTATTCTATGCATGGTTACTTAAAAGACAGTCCGACCAATGTTATGTGAAGCCCAGTCCCAGGTAAATGTACAAAGGAATGCAACTTTGCTATACTGTAGAATTAATGCAGTTTTATACCACTTTAATTGCCTCTGTGGCTCAATGCTATGGAATCATTAAAGTAGTCGTTTTACAAAATCTTTAACTTTTTCTACCAAGAATTCCATAGCATTGAGCTATGGCAGTTAGAGGAGTGTCAGGCTGCATTGATTCTGCAATGCAGATCCTCCCTAGATGTGACAGAAATGCATTTAACCAGTTTAGTTCCATGAAACTAGTGGGACTAAACAAGAAAGCATGATACTTCAATTGACTTCTGGTTGACTTTATTTAAAAGTAAAGGTTTTCCCCTGACATTAAGTCCAATCGTGTCCGACTCTGGGGGTTGGTGCTCATCTCCATTTCTAAGATGAAGAGCCGGCATTGTTTGTAGACATGACTGTATGGAGCGCTGTTAGTTTCCTGCCGGAGCGGTACCTATTGATCTACTCACATTTGCATGTTTTCAAACTGCTAGGGTGGCAGAAGCTGGGGCTAACAGCAGGAGCTCACACCTCTCCCCAGATTCGAACCTGCAACCTTTCAATCAAAAAGTTCAGCAGCTTAGTGCTATAATAATAATAATAATAATAATAATAATAATAATAATAATAATAATAATAACTTTATTTTTATACCCTGCCAACCATCTCCCCAAGGGGACTCGGGGTGGCTTACAAGGGACAAGCCCAAAAAATTACAGATAAAAACACAAACAATTAAAAACGTCAGATAAAATATAAAAACAAACACAATAGTAAGCAACATCAAAACAATATGGCTGAGAAAAAGAACATAGCTGAGGTTCAGGCTCAATGAGTGCAATACATCCTGAAGGGAGTGCAAGAAAACAATCAAGTAGACAGGGCTGGAAAAACTGTCATCAAAAGTGTTGAGGTAGATGATCAAAAGCACACCGGAACATCCAGGTCTTTAGTTGTCTCCGAAAAGAGGACAAAGTAGGAGCCTGTCTGATCTCCCTAGGGAGGGAGTTTCAGAGCCACCACTGAGAAGGTCCTCTCCCTCGTCCCCACCAACCGAGTTTGAGACAGCAGAGGGAGAGAGAGCAGTGCTTTCCCAGATGATCTCAGGGTGTGCACTGGTTCATAGGGGAAGATATGATCACAGAGATTAACCTACTGCGCCACTGGGGGCTCCTCTGGTTGACTCTAGTCCATGACAATACCTTGGATTTTAAGGTGGCCTTCTTTAAATGGAAGGGTTTCTTTCAGTTACATAAGGCTTTTGTTCTAGTATGGTAAAATTTCCCTCTGTCTTTTATATTATGCAGTTTTTGTTTGATCCTTTCAGCATTTATAATTTAGGGATGTTACTGTGAGATTAAAACTCCCAGAGTCTCCCAGCCATTCTGATCAGCACCAGTGGAAATGCTAGTTAAGATTCAGGGAGCTGTAGTCCAAAGATAACATTTCCTCCATGTGCTGATGTGACCTCTTTCCAGTCTTACACTGAATCACTAAGAATTTCCAAAGTGCATGCCTTACACAGATTTTTATTATTTGGTGTTTTTTCCCCCTTTAGGTTACCACAAATATCTTGTGGGGCATTCAGCCAGCCCCCATGACAGTGCAAGTATGGGTGATTATAGTAGCTGTCCTAGCAGGATTGTTACTTTTAGCACTTCTCGTCTTTGTAATGCACAAGGTGAGTGTTGTTTTTGATTAATCCTTCAGCAAGTTGTTTAAGTGATACAGTACTGGTTGAGTACCCCTTATCTAAAATGCTTGTGCTCAGAGGTGCTTTTTTTTTTTTTTTGGATTTTGGAATACTTGTATTTGCTTATAGGTTTCATGATGAGATATTTTGGAGATGGGACTCAAGTCTAAATCTATATAAATAAAAATGCAATATTTGTTTGTGGGATTGACATAACTCAAAAACCACTGGACGAAATGACACCAAATTTGGACACAATACACCTATTAGGCCAACAAGTGACCATCACTCATAAAAACGCTGAAAAACACAGCAAAAGAACCTTAAAAAGCCAAAAAACAAAAAAAATTACAACACATTTGCAAAACCACATATACACACAAACACACACATATACACATATATACACACACAAAACACATCTACACAGACTGGGCACAGCAACGCATGGCAGGGGATGGCTAGTACAAAATAAATTTTTGCTTCATTTATATATCTTACACATGTAATTTTATACATTTTAAATAATATTGTTAATGAAACAAAGTGTGTGTACATTGAACTATCAGAAAGCAAAGGTTCCACTGTTTTGGCCAACTATGGGAGCAATTTTGAATTTTGGAGAATTTCGGATTTCAGACTTCCACATAAGCGTTGCTTCATCTGTATTGTTTTTCAATGAAAGTGGATGAAGGCTACAAAAGTTGATCAATAGAAGTGTTTGGTGTCTCTTTTTTACTTAGTTATTTTTCATTGGGCACTTACTTGAGAGTAAATCTCAGGAATACTGTGAGGCAAGTTACAAATATGATAGGTTGTGTAGGTTTGTTCTTAAGTTGAATGCATATGTAAGTCAGAGCAGGTACATTTTAAGTGTAACTCCAACTATAAATGTAATCTTTGGATAGCATCGAGAAGGGTTAATGCCTCTGTAGTGCTTGTTTTGCTGTGTATCCCCCTGTTCAGATGATTCCTCATCAATTTCTGTCCCTGTGATAATTGGATTTTGAAAAATGTGGCTTGTTGTGGAAACAAGGGTTAGTGATAAAGCTTCAGTAGAGACACTTTTCCCCATGGTAACTCTTTCAGGAGTGAAATTCCCTTTCTAGGGGTAGCTTTCTCTCACTTCCTGTTGTATCACCCCCATTCTTAACTAGGAGTCCCTTGTAAGTTGGAAGTCTGTATCTCAGGGACTGCCTGTATACCCGTATAGATTTGCATTACATGTGACACAATAATTGTAATGCATTTATGCAATATAGATACACACAGAGACACTTAGGAAATCAAAGCCACTCTCCAGTAATCTTGTAGAGCACTTAACATGTTGTAGAGGCACAAATACAGTAGCAAATTAAAACACTAAAGATAATGAATTTGCAGAAAAATAGTTCTTATGCCGGCTTAATTGAAACATCAAATAAGAAATAGAAATGCACTCAGATAAAAACTTGCTACAGCCTTTGAAATTTCCATAGCTGTTGGCTAAGGGAGTGCTGGCTTCAATTGATTAAAATAAATTATTTCTAAGTGTTTTATATGTTTGTTTACTTATTAAACTTGTGTATTGAAAATGTTTATATAAAAGAGTATATGAATAGTTTACATCAAGATATTAAAACATTTTGTCCTGGGATTGCTGAGTTTCTGTGTTCAGATGTTTTCTAGATCTGTGGACAGATATGGTTCAGTGCTGTTTTGGGGAAGGGATTCATTTGGGGATGCAATAAGAAATTCCATATGTCATACTTATCTACAGGCTCAATATCCATAGTTTCATCATGCTCCCAAAAATATTATTTCCCAGCAGTGCTTGTGAGTCTGTCTGGGTCCCCCAATGTTTTCTATTATATACTTCTAGCCCTATTTAAAATACAGAGTTCCATGTATCTGTGTGTTTTTTTAGAAACATCTCCATATATTCTGTAAGGTCATCTCTATATAAAGGATATGTGTGTAATGACAATCATATGGTGTGTCTAAGTGCTAAGTTTATGTTCTTTTTCTACATGAGTAGTACAGACAGAGATTTATGTGAAAGGGTTAAGAAGGAATTGACAAGGAAGTGAGAAAGAGAAGTAAAATGTTACACATCTGAAGTGGTAAATCAGATAAAGAGCTATTTGGTTTTGTTCCTTTAAAATGCCACAAAGTCCTTTTTTATATTGTCGAGCTGCAAAGAGGCAGAGTGTCTGGAACTCCTTACACCCAAAGACTATGCCCCTGTGAAGGAAATGAAATAGAAACAATAGAACACTTTTTATTGAAGTGCTGCTTTTACACTGCAACATAGCCAACTTTTATATCCAATTCTGTCCTACATGACCAGCCATCCCCCACAGGGGATTGTTAGATATCTTTTAGAGGACAACTGCCACAGGGTGACCTTAATAAATTGTTGATTTGATATTGTTGACTTATGCAGTATACTACAATGTATTTTATTTAGTACTTTATTTCTATTATGACCAGGAAATATAAATGGGACTGTCCAGTTGGAAGCACCGACCTATTTACGGGCAGCAGCCAGGTTGTTACAGGGAGCGGTCACACTGGAACAACCACGCCTTCAAGCTTGGTGGGGACGAGAGAAAGGGCCTTTTTGGTGGTGGCCCCTCGACTCTGGAACTCACTCCCTAAGGACATCAGGCATGCCCTAACTTTGGCAGTCTTTAAGAGGAGCTTGAAGACATGGTTGTTCCATTGTGCCTTCCCAGAATAATGATCCCATAGCACTTCGTCCTCCAAAGCACTTTATATTGTTTTAGGTCTGCTTGTATGTTTCCACAAACTGCCCCATCATTTTTTGCCCATATCTAGCATTATTTTTTAATCTTTTAAATTTAATTACATTTGGCCTACCCATAGATTTTAAAGTGTGTTGTCCTATTGATAATGCTTATGTTATTGTTTTATTGTTTTGTTGTTTTTAAATTGCTTGTATTGTTATTGTTATTGCTTGTATTGTTGTATTGTGGGCTCGGCCTCATGTAAGCTGCACCGAGTCCCCTGGGGAGATGGTAGTGGGGTATACATAAAGTGTTATTATTATTATTATTATTATTACTATTATTATTTACAAGAAAATTCTGAAGGAAGGAAATGCATTTCTACAACATGTGTGGAAAACCCTTTTTAACTGTGCCTAAACCTGATTAGTCAGCCACTTAATAAGGAAACAATTTTTATCTGAGAAATGGTTAGACAACATGTTTTTCAAGTATTGTGAACCCTGGATGAGAAGAATCTTGGTCTGATTTTTTTTCCTTCACTTTTTCTCTCCCTGCTACTCAGGTGGGTTTCTTCAAACGTGTGCGGCCGCCTCAAGAAGAACAAGAAAGGGAACAGCTGCAGCCCCATGAAAATGGGGAAGGGACCTCAGAAGCTTAAGCAGTGTTTTAGCTGTTTCATTTGCCAACAGTTTAGAATTATCCACATCTTCCTGTAAAAATGTGTATTTTCTTCCTTGAGGGACAGACAGTCCAGCACAGCACTGCAAAATACCTTTTGACATTGACAATAGTCTGAAATTAACTCCAAAATGACAGCCGTATATTTAGCTTCCAGCATATTAATCACGCTCACGGATATGACTAATACTATGCACTGATGAACATATTTTCGTGTCCCCGTTTTGCTTCTCTAGCTTGAGAAGCAATAGGCGGCATTTTTAGTTTGTTGATCGATCGAACTTGAACTGCTACAGAGTTTCCAGACCTTTCAGAAATGACATTTGTTTGATGAACTGCAGGAATACTAATTGAATACCTACAACTGAACTTTCCTGAAATAATCATCAGTTCTGTAAAGTACCACTACATTTTTGAACTGGAAGTATCTAACGCTACAAAACATACAATGAATTGTTGCACAGATCTGCTTCAGCTGTATCTTTGGAGATGAGGCTCTACTGGAAGAGGACTACACTTTATCGAGAACAGGATATCAATTTAGAGCGTGTATGGCCACTTCCTTGAGTCTATCATATGGAAGATGTCTTGTGATTTTCCAGACAAAGTCTTCCAGTTCTGCATAATATCAGGGGATTGATTGGTTCACAGCTGTTTCCTGGTACCTTTTCCAAACTCTCAAAAGTATTCTCAAATTAGTAAGGTACATTGGTGGCCAGAATTTGCATTGACAATAATGTATGTGAATTAACTATATTCGCCTGCCTTTATTTTGTATAGTTTACGTTCCAGAATCCACAGTTTTGCACTGAATGACAAGAATCTCAAATCTTGGAACTGAAAAATCTCCTTTTCAAGTATGTTGGGGTTTAGTCGTTGAAGGCCCATAAGTTGGTACTCCTGAAATAGAAAGAAAGAAAGAAAGAAAGAAAGAAAGAAAGAAAGAAAGAAAGAAAGAAGGAAAAGATGTTTGTGTGAGATTAAGTTGTAATCCTGGAAATTTTGCACAACAACAAAACTGAACATGGAATATTTCCTTTTTAAAAAGACTATGATTTTCAGAAGCCTTCTTTTCAGGGTTTTTTTTTTTTAAAAGAAAGTCAAAATTCTCAGAAAGTCAGTGTTTGGGTTTTTTATTCCCAAGGAAGCAGAAGATGAAAATAAAACTACAGTTTTGGGAACTGAGGGAAGGCCTGAGTGGGGAGCATATCTTGATAAAAATTACATTGTTGATTACAACTCCCAAAATCCTCCAGAAGGCATGACCACTGAGAATGCTTAGTAGGAGATGTTGAGAGTTATAGTACAAGTCTTTTAGCCAACCTCTGCTAACCAAGTGGTGAGATGAGTTACACGCTTCTCAATGTGACCCTATAAAGCAGTGGTTCCCAACCTCTGGTCCATGGACTACCAGTAATCTGCAGCAACTAAGATGTGGTCCGCAGCCTCAACATTACTACACTGTTGCCTCAAAACCACGTGGCAATGATAGCAACTGGTCTCGTGAAACCCCTTTATAGTGTCGAGGTGACAGGGATGTCAGGAGGGGAGAGGCTGACTACCCATGAAAGATTACTTCCAGCACAAAAGCTGTATATTATTAAATATGGTTTTCTGTGGGCAAGTAGATGGCGACTACTGAATGGCATATGTTCTGTATCAGAAACTGGAGCTGATGTGGTCTATCCAATGCAATTTTCTGAATCAACACCCCAAATAACCAAACTGAATCTAAAGTTGACCAAAAACTGATTTGTAACCCTTTTGGTACCAATGTTGGAGAGTAGTTCCTGGTCAAATTGGTCCCTGGTCAAAAAAAGGTTGGGAATCACTGCTATAAAGAGACAAATGGAACAGTATATTTGAGAAAGAAATATTGTTTCTGTTCCATGATTCCTACATGATCAGATTTGCCAGCTTGTAACTAATGGCATCAAAACGTAAGCTCAGCATAAGTTGTTGGCAAGTTTGACAAGGAAATCTTTAAAATCCTCAGAAAGTTAAAGCAATAAAAAATTAAGGAAAACAAAATATTCCTGAACAATTACATACATCATTTGAGTATAACCAAGAGAGAACTGTCAGGATTGCTGCATAATCTTTACCATTGATCTACCATTGATTTCTAAGGCTGTGGAATGTAGTCTTACTTTTCCTATTATAATTGGCAGGATTTGCTCAGAAGCCTATGTTCTGATTTTGTGGTACGAGAGTGGGAGCATTGAAGTCAAGCCTGAGAAAGTGATTGTCAAACCTCCATTCAGAGGTTTGGTTTTAGGTACTCTGCTTTTTCATCCAATTTAAAATAGCTATTTATTGGGAGATTGTAAGGATTTGTATAGAACTAAAACAACTGTGGGTGGGCACTATAAAATCTAACGTGTGCCATATAGATGAGCTTCCAAAATTTATGTTAGGCTACTTATCAAAGTTGCTTGGCTCTCTATCCATGGGAAATGGAATTTCTAGATATTCTTCTGTCCTATGCATATGAGGGAAGCACAACTGGTCTAAGATGCAGTTAGACCAGTGGTTCTCAACCTGTAGGTCTCCAGATGTTTTGGCCTTCAACTCCCAGAAATCTTAACAGTTGGTAAACTGGCTGAGATTTCTAGGAGTTGTAGGCCAAAACACCTGGGGACCCACAGGCTGAGAACCACTGAGTTAGAGCTTGGGAAAATGATTTTCTTCGACTCAAAGAAAATACTTTTTCAAGACCTGGTTGGAGTGTTATTTTGAGTCTAGTGTGCACATGAGCGTACATAATGTGATTTTATGTTATTGAACACTGTAGATTTAATGGCTTGTGGTTGAGAATATGAATGATCAATCAACATTGGGTTTGGAATAATGTGAGGAGATAGGAAAGTTCTTTCTATACTGACAGTTCTGTGATGGTCCTTCCTTTCGCTCAGACCAGTCATTGCTTGACATTGTGGATACCAAAACGATGAGCTTTAGAAATGTACAAATCTTTTGTTTCCATGTAGCTGCAAGTAGCACTTTCCCTCATAAATGCCACATGTTTTCAGACATGAACTTCCAAATGGAAAAAGCAATCAGCTGTGTAATATTTCATCTGAAATTTACTGATGGTTTTTTGATGTGCCATATGTTCTTCCATCTAGGCCACTGACACTGTAATCCTATGTAAATAGTAACCTAGTTTGTCTTCTAAATGACATTTTTCTTTGATATCCCCCCGAGCAATTAAGATGTAAATATTTTTTAAGGAAAAAGACACAGAATTAAATATACTAGGTCTTTTTATAACTAATATTTTCACAGAAAGAAAATATTTTTATATATTGTGCAGGGTAGAACCCAATGCGTAAAAAAAGTGCCAAGAAAAGGACCCATTCAAAAATTAGTATTTTTCTTCATAATTTTATTGGTCTATATCAAACATATTTGTCCACGACAATTCTGGCCAAAATCCTACATCACTGACTTAGTTAAGAATGCATAATTAAGCGTTGTCTCTTAGTCTGACCCCACTGAAATCTACCTTATCATCCAGTAGCTGCCCTAAGCAACCTAGGTCTATTTTCCTAGCAATTGAGGTTCATCAGGATGGCATTTCTAAACTATACCCAGTGGTAACAGAAGCCTGGAAACATCATCCTGCTTCATCCCAGTTACTATCACAACATAGTTGCCCGCTGGAGTTTAAGGTGGGATTTCAGGAGGGGGGTATTTATGTTTGTAGCATTAGTACCACCATCATGAATACATAGTGTAACTGAATATGGAGCAATATGCAAAGAGATCTTGGAGTTCCTTGTGGGGAATAAAGTTGGTTGCATCTGAGGAAGTGGATTTACTCTGCAAAGATGTATGCTACCAACTTGGTACTCTGAATTGGTCTACAGGATCCATTTTTTCATTCTGGGTGATAATGTAGTGTGGGAGGGGTTTTGCAGTTTGAGAGGCATGATTTAAATCAGTGGTCTGTGCCAAACAATAATATTGGATTCCTTAATTATCAAATGATGGACCCAGCATGACATAGTTTTAACGTTGGACTAGGAGTCTTTCCACACAGCCCTATATCCCAGAATATCAAGGCAGAAAAATCCCACAATATCTACTTTGAACTGCGTTAGCTATTAGCTTGATATTCTGGGATATTATGTGGAAGGGCCACGAAACAAAAACTCAAGCAAAATGGATAATAATTACAGATATAGAAAGCAATTGTCCAAAATTTGATTACCTGTATGCAAATACGTCAAAACATTATATTTTTATCCCCAGTTCATTGAAATCCAGTCATGAGGGTCTTTGCATTAAATGTATGTCTTGATATCCCTGTAAACATGTCTTGCTAGATTTTGGGGCACGATAAAAGCTGCAAAATCTATTTTGCACAAATGACAGTGGGATTTAAACATAAATAAACTAACAAGCAGATGAACAAGAAACAACGCGTTTCCTGGGTTTTATGACTCTCGCTTCAAATGGTAAAACTAAATCTGTTTGCAGCTGATTAGGTTGCAGCACAGTTAAATAAAGATCTGTTCACCAAAATAATATCTAGTAGCCTTCTACTTCATCTCCATATTGTAGATATAGGTGTTATCCATCTGTAGAGAAAGGGTTTGTACTCTGGAGCAGAGTGGGTTCATTTTCAAAACATAATCTGAGAGATTCTGAGATAATTCAATTCCCTTTGACTCCAGCAGAATTTAATGACCTTGGAATTGGATCAGTGAGCGGGAGCAGGTCTGCTCTCTTTATTTTGTCGCTGTTCTTAACCAAAGAAATCCTGCACAATGCATCTTTGATAATCAGTTTCGATTAATTGCTTGCCAAATTATCATCAATCCTCACAGTCCTAGCTAAGAAAAAAAACCTGATCCCATAACTCTCTAGGGATTTTCTGTCCCATGGAGGCGACATTTCTGCCTAACCTCCTGTCACTTAAAGATGATTCGCACATGCAGGTTCATCGCTCAATGCCCACAGCGAATCCATTTTTAAAAAACAATTAGAGATTATGCAAAAACATTTGGCCTATTTGAGCCTTGGTAGCAATTGCAAAGCTGATAGCAAGCCACACTCTGACACTAATGTTACATGAGGGAATTGAATGAGAAATACCCGGAAGCTCACAGAAGTGAACTCTGAATGTATGAACTGAATGTATACTGCATCCGATAATAATGTCTAGAACTGATTTAAAATAAAAACATTTCTGTGTAGAAAGCTCCTTTCTGCATTGTCCAAAATGTGATACCTACTTTGGTTGTGTTAGATGTCCCTAATGTTCAGTACAATGCATGATTTCACTCTATCAGGCAATGTCTTTGAGGTAAGTTGCTACAACTTAAGATTGTAGAACACGTATGATTGAAAATCAGTTGCCTTTACCTTGTGCCTTTCTCTCACAGGGCATTCTGTACTAGTGGTAGGTAAGGATCTTTCATTGTGATTCAGTGTCGGAATGAAAAGGATGAAATTGGGTTCACCTGTAATGTATGCAGCATACCATACATACTCATGTATAAGTTAAGGGTAGGTTTGGGGGCCAAAATAAATGGATTTTGATATGACCTGTGCATAAGTCAAGGGTCATTCCATAGAGAGAGGAAAGTACCAGGGGACTAGCCACCCCTGGCTATCATTTCCCCTCCCAGGCACTCAATTAATAATAATAATAATAATAATAATAATAATAATAATAATAATAATAGGCTCTGGTATAAACCAGTACAGGTGGTCCCAGTGATAATAGCACTGGGTGCCATGCCAAAAGATCTCAGCCGGCAATAAACATTGACAAAATTGCGATCTGTCAACTGCAAAAGGCCACCTTACTTGGATCTGTGCACATCATTCAAAAATACACGGTCCTAGATGCTTGGGAAATATTCGACTTGTGATTTTGTGATACGAAATCCAGCAAATAGATCTCATTTGCTGTGACATACTGTGTTTTTGTGTCAGAATAATAATAATAATAATAATAATAATAATAATAATCCCACCTCTCCTGGTTTCAGGCGAGTCGCAACATTGCTAAAAACACACAATCATCTGAAAACATTCTAAAAATACACATATGAAAACATATTTATACAAAATACATATTAAAATTAAACATAAGATCCAGGTTCAAAATTCATTATTATAATTGGCTGGGTAGGTCTGCAAGAAGAGATGGGTCTTCAGTTGTGTCTATAATCCCAACAGCTCATTTAGCAGTTGGAGCTCTTCCAGCAGGTCATTCAACAGTCTTGGGGTGGCTGAGGAAAAGGTCCTCTGGGTGGTGGTTGCCAGTTGGGTTCCAGCATGTGTCCTGTTCCCGCCCCCCGAGAACATCAGTGATTGGGGCAGATTGTATAGGAAATAAAACTAGTGGTTCAACAGCGGGGAGACTAAAGGGGGTGGGTGCTTCTTTTAGGTTCGCCTGGAATGGACTAAGCTCTTGCTTTCTCCACTCTACTCAAGAGAAGTGGATGGTTCCTCTCCCCATCACTATAAGTGTTAGTGTGCAATACTCACACTGATTCTTGGATAAGTTTTTGGGGTTGATTTTTAAGTAAAAATTTCTATACATGAGTTTGTAGGGTATATTTCTTAGACATCAACATTTGTTAAGTCTAAGGATGTTTACTTAGAAGTAAGTCTACTGATTTCCTTGGAGATTTTTTATTGCTAACAGTGCTTGCAACTGCAGGCCCAGTCTCTAACTGCTCCAGCAAATGTTATGATTATGGACATGGAGTGAGTCACAATGTCATAAAACTTGCCAGTTGCCAACACTTTAATTTAACTTAAGAGCTTTTGGAAGCAGAGTTGTGACTGTACAATAATTAAATTCCTATTTCATTGCTGCTATTGTGTCAAGTGTGCATTCCTCTAAATATATTGTCTTTTTAAAATAATGTGCCATTATATTTTATTATCCACAGATAGTTATAAAACAGCAACACAGTTTTCCTCCATGATTTGGACACACATCTAATATTTTAAGTGACTTTGTTTCATCTTGCTATGAGTTCCTATGATTAATTTTTTTTAAAAAAATCACTTCCTCATCATAAACAATGAAAAGCTTTTCAAATTTGAAAATTATTTTTTTTAAAAAATTGTGAGACATGCAGAATTTGGTGGGATGTCTCTTGCGATGCATGGTTAGGCTATCATATAATAGCAAACGCAATAAATGATACTTTACGAACTGTTCTAGTTCATATTTACTTATCATCCTAGCCTAAGTTTGTGGTTTTCAATATTTGAAAGTCTTCTTTAAGAATTGCCGAATGTATGTTTATTTATCTGAATAGGTTCTGCCTGCATGTCACACTCCAGACATTGTCTCCACATATAGTCTGATAATTCGACAAAATTGCTACACATTTTTGGAACTCTCCTGTCTTTCTATCCAACCATTTAATGCAAACATTTCGATAAAATAATATTTAGTGACCTGTTTCATAAAGTCTTTATAAACGAAAGACCCTTCTGCTTCTTCAAACATCTCAAATGATTAAGAAGTCTCCAAATCTATTTCAGTATGTGAGGTTCTACCAGGTATAGGGAGAGGTGAGACCGGCCAAATCACTACACTTTAGCTTTATGAATGCTAAATTCACATGCTATAACCCAATTCCAATGGTTTCCCCCCAGTTTTGTTGCACAAAGCTCAGTTTGTAGTACTAGCCACAAAAGCAAAGCCTGCCTGGATTTTATTAGATTTAAGAACTAAAGACTGAGAACTCCAAAAGAGAGCTGAAATATCCCATGGAGACACCAGATGCCATCTGATCTTGGAAGATAAGCAAAGTCAGGTCTGGTTGGTCCTTGGATGAAGAGCACTCGATGCTCTTTTTTAGAGGAAGGCAATGACAAAACCACCTCTGTGTATTCTTTGCTTAAGAGCACCCTATGAAATCTGTGGATCAGTGTATGTTGAAAAGTGAGTTGAAGGCACACAGAGAAGTTTCAGTTTGATCTATCAATTATACAGTTGTGGATGTGGCCGCAATACTCCAGATAATCACTTCAAAACTCTGCACAACTTTAGGAATAGGTTGAAGGGAATTATAAGTGTTAGTGGGTTATTTTTCCTGTCAGAAACGACTTGAGAAACTGCAAGTTCCTTCTGGTGTGAGAGAATTGGCCGTCTTCAAGGACTTTGCTCCGGGGACCATTGCCCAGGGGATGCCCAGATGTTTTACCATCCTATGGGAGGCTTCTCTTATGTCCCCGCATGACAAGCTGGAGCTGACAGGTGGGAGCTCACCCCACCCCCTGGATTCGAACCACCAACCTTTCGGTCATCAGTCCTGTCTGCACAAGGGTTTAACCCATCATGCCACCAGGAGCTCCAGTAGAACTATAGTTCGCAAAGGGCTGTAGTTCAGAAGTATACCCAAGAGCTCTCTAGTAGATAATTACACATTCTCACCAAATACAGATCTCACAATCAAAGCCAAAGCAGTACCAGATTACTATATATGTGCATAGTGTGAGGCTATACTCACAGACTGAAATGTCATTTCACCTTGAAGCTCATTGGTTGGCTTTAGGACTGTTATTCTTTCTCCACCTCACCTATTTGACAAGCTTGTCATAATGATAAAATAGAAGAAAACCATGTATTTCATAAAAAGTCATACGGTATAAATCTAGAACATTGTGTTGCAAATTTTTAACAATAATACATTGTTGAATAGCAAAGACAATGTTATCATGTGGGGACATATGGCAAAAATGGCCCACCATTCATCAAAACTATACAGATGTGCAGCTCTCCAGGCTGTGTGCCCACTGTCTGTCGTTTACATCTTTTCAAAGTCCTGATGCCCTAAAACTGTCAGACTGCACCATATTTCTTCTGGTTTTTTGTTTTTGCTTTAACATCTGAGCCGCAGAACGTCCCTGCCTGCTTTGAGAGAGGATTTTGATGCTTCTTTAAAGTCAAAGCTGCATTTCTGAGAATGTCTAATCACCAGAATCATGAAGGGGGAGGAAGGACATACAATGCTTATAGGGCCATTAGGAGCAAATGACCAGATGGTTTAAAGGTTGAACCTTATGTTCGCCAGATCATAAACCTCTAAGTGCAAGACAAAAAGGATTGAACAGTGCAAGTATTTATTCCATCATGCTGTAAATGTCGAGTAGATTTGTCTATAGACTGACAAAAGACTCAAATACTCTCTCTTTGATTGTCTGAAAAGCTTTTGCATTAAATTCCATCTATTTTTGCACTCCAACAAAACTGGCCTCGAGTCAAAGACATGCATGTGCAAGATGTCAAGGAAGAGATGGGAAAACTGACACCCTCCTAATGTTGCTAGACCTGAACTCCTATCAACCCTGGCAAGAACAGCCAATGGGGAAAGGTGATGGGGAGTGCTGGTCTTGCAAAGCAACACCTGGGGCTTATCTACATCGGCTTCTTGGTGCTTAATGTACAGCCAGTTTGGGTAGTAATACTCTTAATGGGATCTCAGGATGGGCACACACTCCATGCCAAATCCACAGCAGCAGCAAACAATCTGCATACAATCTAATTGCTTTACATAACATAATCACTGTTCATTTGCAATTTATGAAGGATCATTTCTGTTAATTTGATAGGTTGCTATTCTTATTTTGATTAGTTGTTTTTATTGATGAATGTTGATTTAATTTGCTTCTGTTGTTACATAATGATTTTGTTTATTGTCTGCACTGTTATTGTGTATAAGCCGCTCCAAATCCCTTGGGGAGATGATGGTGGGATAAAAATAAATTATTATTATTATTATTATTATTATTATTTGAAACACAACAAGATTAGTACACAGCAAACAAGGTCACTCTGCTGGCTGTTGTACTGGATCACATGCTGGACACTTCCCAAGTGTCTAGAACTGTGTGATGTATTGGCGAATAATGCGTGCAGATCCAGGTAGGGTTGCCTTTTGCAGCTGACAGATGGTAATTTTGTCAGCACTGATTGTGTTTGAGTGCAGGCCAAGGTCTTTAGGCACTGCGCCCAGTGTGCCAATCACCACTGAGACCACCTTTACTGGCTTGTGCCAGAGTCTTTGCAGTTCATAGAATCATAGAATCAAAGACTTGGAAGAGACCTCATGGGCCATCCAGTCCAACCCTCTGCCAAGAAGCAGGAATATTGCATTCAAATCACCCCTGACAGATGGCCATCCAGCCTCTGTTTAAAAGCTTCCAAAGAAGGAGCCTCCACCACACTCCGGGGCAGGGAGTTCCACTGCTGAACAGCTCTCACAGTCAGGAAGTTCTTTCTCATGTTCAGATGGAATCTGCTTTCTTGTAGTTTGAACCAACTTCACATTCCACTGTCTCTCCCTATCCCTGCTCCTGGACATTTGTCTGCCATGGAGTTGAAGGACAAGCGTGTTACGCTGTTACAAAAGGATATTACAACAATGTTTGAAAGTTCAATCTTTAAATCCTCATATCGTGTCAGCTTTTCCAGTTGAGAGTTTAATGAAATAAATGAATCAAAATGAAATAATCAGAAGAAATAAATGTCACATGAAAAGGATACCACGCAAAGTAGTTCTTACCCAGAATGTTCTCATGATGTTTCCCATATGGTGGCCAAAATGACAGGAACTGGCTGAGAATAGAAACAAAACATGTAATTGAGAAAAATATCAGTTTTCCTGTTATTGCACTATTTCAAGACAGTGGCATTAATGTTTAGAAGAAACAGAGTCCAAATTGAACTGTCATTACTGCTTCGTGTTATGTCTGGTGTGTCAAGCTCCATTTCTTCCCCATTCTCTTGTACTGCTTTGTCAACAAACCATTAGTACTCGCATTCAAATCATAAGATGGATAAGATGATGTCTTAGGTGACTCTGATGCAAGCCAGAAATTTGTTTTGTTTGTTTTTTAATTTTTTTAAAAAATTATAGAGCAATATCAATGGTAAGTTTCTTTTCCACTTGGCATTGCTATTCTGAGTACCAAATAAAATGCATCAAGTGGAACTAGATGTCCTGAAAAGATCCAGCAAGTGACCAAACGAATCTTCAGAAACTGTCTTTTCATAAACAGACCCCACACCCCACCTTGTCTGTAAAAGGTGACTTCAACAAACTGCTCTTTCAACTTTTCCAAAAGACATTTGCCTTACATTGATTTGCACCATTTGGTGCCTACCAAGAAAAAAACAACAAAACAAAACAAACCTCTTGCACCCTCAAAAGTGTTTGTTATTACATGGCAAACCAACTTCACATTCCACTATCCCGGCTCATAGACATTTGTCTGCCATGAAGTTGAAGGACAAGTGTGTTACTCTGTTACAAAGGGATATTACAACAATGTAAGTTGTGTAAAAGGTTTTGTGAACTAGGAGCCACACCGTAAGATGCACAAACTGAGGACAACATTTACTTTATTTATACCTCACCTAGGGGACCTAAAGGCAGCTAACAATCATAGACTTTGATCAATTTAAAACACAGTAAATATAAAAATTAAACTCACATGAGCTGGAGAGCAGTAGGAAAAGAAGAACTTGCATTCCAGGTAGGAAAACTCATGACAGGAAGTTATAGACCTGAGTCTGAAAGGCCTGATCAAGTTGCACGCTGTGAAAGCCACCCACTGCATGGCTATCAGCCCCAGTAGATTTAAATCAAGGAAAAGTTTCATGAGAACCACACTCTTCTAAATATCCCTGTGGGCAGCAAAATGAGGCAATCCCAACTGGATGTCCAGGGGCAAAGCAAGAATGGGCAACTTGGAAGTCTCCAAACAGACTCAGAAATGGGGTTGGGAGATCAAAATACAACCTGGCACTTCCTAGAAGAATCCTCTACCTCGTTTGATTGTGGAGCATCTGTATGCTTGCCCACAATGCCCTGCCTCATGCACAGAGGAAGAACTGTTTAAAGCTACAGACAAGGCGGTCGCTGTTGACCGTTTTTGGCCTAAAACTGTTTAGCTGCTTGTGATCCCTTTTTATCAATTTTAAACTTATTTATTTATGCAATGTATTGTTGAAGGCTTTCATGGCCAGAATCACTGGGTTGTTGTAGGTTTTTTTCCTGGATTATATGGCCATGTTCTAGAGGCATTCTCTCCTGACATTTCGCCTGCATCTATGGCAAGCATCCTCAGAGGTAGTGATGCTTTCGACCCAAGGACATCCCTGATAGGATGATTTGACCACTTCTTATTTGTGGAGCTGCTAACACTGCAATTGTTTTTTCTGGTTAGCGTGTGTGTATGCATGTTGTTTGGTAGAATAAGTCAGACACTTCAGAAAGCATTTCCTTTTTATGCTAGCAACGGGAAAGGTGCTGGTGGGATTTTCTGCCTGAGGTGCCAAAATAACATCTCTCTCTCTCTCTCTCTCTCTCTCTCTCTCTCACCTATAAATTTGTTGCAGCAAATATATTACTCCCAGTCCTGTGGCACCTTACACTTTTGACACATATTTATTATGGCATAAGCTTTGAGGAGCTACATCTAACCTCATCAGCTGTCTTGATTCAAGTGGGCAACAGGCGAAGTATGATACCTGAAGCTATAATAAAATGTGTTAGGCTTTCATGTGCTCTGTTTTGCTTGTTTTGATCAGTCCTGGGTTCTCATTCATTTGTTCACATATAGGTCACATTAAAATCCTGTGATAGGGTGAGTGTGTGCTACATTTTCAATGTTACGTCTTTTTTTAATTATTTGATTCTATTTCAAATTGCTGATGTTTTATATGATAGCTCATTTAACCAATTCCACTAAGTTTGTATCCTCAGGGTTTTACTTTCCAGGTTTTTCATTCCTGACTCTGGATGACGAACTACTCCAAAATTCGAAATAAACCACATAGATGACTGAGATAGCATTATCTCTGCTTTCTGATTGTTCGGTATACACAAATGTTTCGCTAACAAAAGTATTTAAACATTATATCAAAATTACCTTCAGGCTATGTGTATAAGATGTATATGACACATAAATTAGCTTCTCAAGATATCTCATTATGTTGTTGTTCATTCGTTCAGTCGTTTCCGAATCTTCGTGACGTCATGGACCAGCCCACGCCAGAGCTCCCTGTCGGCTGTCACCACCCCCAGCTCTTTCAAGGTCAAGCCAGTCACTTCAAGAGTGCCATCCATCCATCTTGCCCTTGGTCGGCCCCTCTTCCTTTTTCCTTCCATTTTCCCCAGCATCATTGTCTTCTCTAAGCTTTTCTTTCTTCTCATGATGTGGCCAAAGTAATCTCATTATGTACACCTATATAAATAGAGGTATTCCAAAACCTGCAATCCAAGCAATTCAGATAATGGATACCTAACTTATATTGTGCTTTTCCATTTTTGTGTAAAAAAGAAAGTCCTTTAGGTCAGAGCTGGGGTTTGGATATCCAAAACCTTGGATGCTGAAATCACATTATATACCTCATATAATGAAGTAGTGAAATGGTGTCCCTTATAAAAATGGCAAAATCAAAGTTTGCTTTGAAGTTTCTTTTTTTACCCCCAATATTTTCAAGCCAAGGATTGGTTTTGAAACGTTGAATGCAGAATCCATACATATGGAGAGCTGACTGCATAATATTCCTGCTGCAGCATGTTCATAATGTCCTAAGATGCTTCCATATAATTTTCCATTTGGCCATCTAATAAAAAACAATTTAGGCTTCCTTCAAAATCTCCTGTATTAAACCATGCATTGATTCCAACGTTTTTAAGGCTTTCTCATATGTCAACATATCCTTGGCAAAGGACCTTTGCAGCAGCTGCCCATAGACTCAGCGATGACTTGCCAGAAGAAATCCAACAGAAATTAAATCAGAATTAAAGACTTATCTCTTCTGGTAGGTCTACCCAGACAAATTTAATCTATGAATTTAAATGTACATTTGCACTATAAAAATAATGATAATAATGATAATAATTCAAAGTGCTGGCTTTGGGCTATAAAGACCTTAACGGTTCCGGCCCAGCTTACCTGTCCAAATGTATCTCCCACTATAAACCACCTGGGACTTTAAAATCGTCTGGGGAGGCCCTGCTCGCTGTCCCCCCACCATCGCAATCACGGTTGGTGGGAACAAGAGACAAGGCCTTCTCCATGGCGGCCCCTGGCTATGGAATTCTCTCTCAAGTTAAATCAGATCCACTACATCCCTCCTGACGTTCCGAAAAAAAGTGAAATCCTGACTCTAGGATCAGGTATTTGCAGATTAAACTGACTTGATGGCAAAACTATGGTTTTAATGGACTATGATGGATGGTTTTTAGGATGATGACTTAAATTGGCGATTGTTTTAAATGTTTTATGATGTTTTATACTGTTTTTACTTGACATGTATACCTATGTTTTTTTCTTTGTTGTTAGCTGTCCTGAGTCCGGAGGTTGAGATAGGACAGGGTATAAATGTCCCAAATAAACAATAAGAAAAACTCAGCCATTATCAGGACCTCAAAATCGAACTCCAAAGGCTCTGGTATAAACCAGTACAGGTGGTTCCAGTGGTCATCGGCACACTGGGTACTGTGCCAAAAGATCTCAGCTGGCATTTGGAAACAATAAACATTGACAAAATCACAATCTGTCAACTGCAAAAGGCCACCTTACTTGGATCTGCACGTATCATTCGAAAATACATCACCAGAGGCGGCTCTAGGTAATTTTCAATGGTAAGCAAACAGTATTTTGCCCCCCCCCCCCCCCACCAATCACTGATATATATTTTCTGTTTGTCGTGGGAGTTCTGTGTGCCATATTTGGTTCATTCCATCATTGGTGGAGTTCAGAATGCTCTTTGATTGTAGGTGAACTATATATCCCAGTAACTACAACTCGCATATGTCAAGGTCTATTTTCCCCCAAGAGCGCCTCAAGAGCACCCTGGGCAAAATCAACTATACTGCAAATGCTTACTTTGCGTAATGGGTTGAGCCGCCCCTGTACATCACACAGTCCTAGACGCTTGCAAAGTCTCCGGCACAAGCCAGTCAAGATAGTCTCAGTGGTGATTGGCACACTGGATGCAGAGCCTCAAGACCATGGCCTGCACTTAAACACAATCAGCGCTGACAAAATTACCATCTGCCAGCTGCAGAAGGCCACCTTAATGGGATCTGCACGCATTATTCGACAATACATCACACAGTCCTAGACACTTGGGAAGTGTCTGATGTGTGATCCAATTCAACAGCAAATTGATCTTGTCTGCTGTGGACTCCTCTTGTTGTGTTTTAAATGATGATGATGATGATGATGCAATAGACAGCAAAAAACAGTAGCATCAGAATCAGAACAACTTGTGCTTGCCTGAAAACGAATTCAGAGTGGAAAACGTCTAGCTGGAATCCTACCTAAGAAATCCCCTTTCCCCTTCTGGGAGGGGCCTCCCACCTGAGTGCCTGCTCCTCCTGCCGCTCCCCCTCCCCTCCCTGTGTCACGTGGGCTCGGGAGGGGAGGGGAGGGGGCTCCCTCTCCGGCGAGGAGCCTCTGCTGCTGCCTCTGCTGCTGCCCGGCTGGCGCTCTCCTTTCGGCCCTGGCCCACAATATGCCTCCGGAGCCTTCTCCTGCTGCTGCCTCGTCGCCATGCCGCCGGGGACCTGCGGGCGCTTCTCTTCCTCGGCCTGGCGCTGCCTCCTGCTCGGGCTGTGGCTGCTCCTCCAAAGCCGCCCGGGATCCGCAGCCTCCACCTCCAGCAGCGCCTCCGTCGACCTGAGCCTGGGTCGGCGCCCTCGGCAGCAGCAGCAGCAGCAGCAGCAGAACCCCCGGGCGGCTGTCCTGGCCTCGACTGACCCTTCCTCCCCTCTGGCTGCTCCAGGTAGGTCGCCTTGGCCGAGCTTGGCCTCTTGGACTCACCCCCCCCTCCCACGCGCCCCCCTTTTTGCCCTCCTCTCCTCTCCTCTCACACCCGCCTTTCCTATTTGTTGTACACACACACACACGCATACACACACACACAAACACATATACTTACACGCATATATACACACATATAGATATACACATATACATACACATATAAGCACACATACACATATATACACACATAGACCTGTACATTCACACACACATATATACACAAACACACACATATAAACACACATATATATACACACACACAAACACACATATACATACACACATACACATATACTTACAAATATGCACACATATATGGACACATATGCATACACATATATACACACATAGACCTATACATTCACACACATACATGTACACACACACATATATACACACACATATACATACACACATATTTGCACACATACACACACAAACACACACACATATGCACACATATATATATGCATACACATATATACACACATAGACCTATAACATTCACACACATACATGTACACACACACATATATACACACACATATACATACACACATATATTTGCACACAAACACACACACATATGCACACATATACACATAGACCTATACATTCACACACACATATATATACACACAAACACACACACACATATACACACACAAAAACACACATATATACACAAGCATACACATGTACATACACACATATGTATACACACAAACACACACACATATACACACAAACACACACATATACACACATATATACACACATAGTCCTATACATTCACACACATATATATACACGCATACACACACATATACCAACACACACACACATATATATACACATACACTCAAACACACATATATACACAAACATACACATATACATGCACACATATGTATACACATACACATATACATACACACATATACACACACATACATGAATAGAAAGTGTCAGAATTATAGAGTTGGAAGAGACCACATGGGCTATCCAGTCCCAACCCCCTGCCATGCAGGAAAAGCACAATCAAAGCACCCCGACAGATAGCCACCCAGCCTCTGTTTAAAAACTTTCAAGAAGGAGCCTCTACCACCCTTCGAGGCAGAGAGTTCCACTGCTGAACAGCTCTCACAGTCAGAAAGTTCTTCCTAATGTTCAGCTGGACTCTCCCTGTAATTTCAACCCATTGAGTCCTAGTTTCCATGGCAGCAGAAAACAAGCCTGCTCCCTCTTTCTTGTGACACCCTTTCACATATGTTGTCCAAGGCTTTCAAGGTGTATTATACAAGATGTATTATTATTGTTGTTGTTGTTGTTATTGTCATTGCCTTTTCTGCAAAGCTTCTGGTCCCTTATCAAAGCACAACTCCAGGGAGTCCGTAGCATTGAGCCATGAATGGCAGGGAAAGCAGTGCCAAACTGCATTAATTCTGCAGTATGGATGGACCCATTGGTGCATCCCAGACCCTCTGTGGCACAGTGCTTCTCTCCTTCGGGTCCATCACTTACAGCCCTCATATCTGCAAACTGCCTCCTTTGGGTTAGTTTCCTCCTCATCCCATCTCTCCCGATCATGCTTTTCTCCATTTCTCTCCCCATCTCTTCCCTGTCTTGGGGTAGCCAGCATGTTTGCCCAATMTAAAAAAACAGGATTGTGAATTATTTTCCTGGGAAAAACCCATCAATCGGGAGAAAGAAAGGTTTGTTCGGTTTGTTTTCATCTACAGTTGTCCTCATGATGCACTTTCCCCTGTCCTTCATAAAGGCCAATCCCCACTGCTCCCCCTTCTTGGGCTCCTCYATCACAAATAAACTATTTTTATATACACTTTTTTTTTACTCCTATCTAATCCAGGGTTTTAACATTTTAGTTTGGACATTTGGCCCACCCTTTGTGTTTGATTTTTATTATTTTATTCTGTTATTTTATGTATTTTGCTGTGATGTAATTTTTCTGTTGTTTTGTTTTTAACTTTGCTGTATTATTTTTGGGCTTGGCCTCATGTTAGCTGCCCCTAGTCCCCTTTGGGGAGATGGTGGCGGGGTATAAATAAAGATGATGATGATGATGATGATGATKATKATKATKATKATKATKATKATTTGAAACACAACAGGATGAGTCCACAGCAGACACTCTGCTGGCTGTTGAATTGGATCACACKTTGGGCACTTCCCAAGTGTCTAGGACTGTGTGATGTATTGATGAATAATGTGTGCAGATCCCAGTAAGGTGGCCTTTTGCASCTGGCAGATGTTAGTCTTGTCACCAATTGTGTTTAAGTGCAGGCCAAGGTCTTTAGGCACTGCACCCAGTGTGCCGATCACCACTGGGACTATCTTGACTGGCTTGTGCCAGAGTCTTAGCAGTTCAATCTTTAAATCCTCATATCTTGTCATCTTTTCCAGTTGTTTCTCTGCAATTCTGCTGTCATCTGGGATTGCGACATCGACAATTTGTTATTATTATGATTATTTATATGATTATTATGATGATTATTATGATTATTATGATTATTATGATTGTTATTCCTTCTTCCATGTTTAGGAAATGAGGGTACAATTGGAGTGTAATGGGCCCCCCTCTCCTTTAACAGGCTTCCCATGCAGCTCCTGGGTGCATCCACACTGTAGAATGAATGCAGTTTGGCACCACTTTCACTGTTATGGCTCATTGCTATGGGATCCTGGGAGTTATGGTTTGACAAGGCAATAGTGCTATTTGACACAGGCCCCTTCCACACAGCTGAATAAACTATCACATTATCTGCTTTGAACTGGAATATACTTACTTACATAGGTGATCCCTCGTTGTCCGAGTAGGATTGTCTTCCAAGATAGGTGTACTGGCAGTGGGTCCGTAGATGACTGTTCTTGATCTGCATCTTTTCCCACAGTGAGGGCATTGGTTTCCAGGTGGAAGGCGGTCCCAGTCTGGGTTGGCTTGACATGCCTTCCTCTTGGCACGTTTCTCTCTTTCGCCCTCCCCTCCATTTGTGCCTCTTCAAATTCTACAGCACTGCTGGTCACAGCTGACCTCCAGCTGGAGCGCTCAAGGGCCAGGGCTTCCCAGTTCTCGGTGTCTATGCCAGAGATTTTAAAGTTGACTTTGAGCCCATCTTTAAATCTCTTTTCCTGCCCACCATTCCGTTTTCCGTTCTTGAGTTCAGATAGAGCAACTGCTTTGGGCATCCGGACAACGTGGCCGGTCCAGCGGAGTTGATGGCAGAGGACCATCGCTTCAGTGCTGGTGGTCTTTGCTTCTTCCAGCATGCTGACATTTGTCTGCTTGTCTTCCCAAGAGATTTGCAGGATTTTCCGGAGGCAGCGCTGATGGAATCGTTCCAGGAGTTGCATGTGATGTCTGTAGACAGTCCATGTCTTGCAGACGTATAGCAGAGTTGGGAGGACAATAGCTTTATAAACGATCACCTTGGTATCCCTACGGATGTCCCGGAATATATGGCAATGTGGACTCAGATAACCCAGTTCAAAGCAGATACTGTGATCTTTTCTGCCTTGATATTTTGGGTTATATGGCTGTGTAGGAAGAGCCCAGAGAAGACATGTAAAATGTCATCTCTCAGTATTACGCAGCATGGAGCCATGGCAGTAGAAGTAGGGTCAAACTGCATTCATTATACTGTGTAGATGCACTCCCTGGCCTTATAACCACATCATTTTTGTTGTGTGACTCTCCCTTGGTGTGTACCTGCTTCCTAAGGTGGCTTTTCTTCCCCTCTGCTTCCCTTCCTCATTCCCTTCCAATCCCGGCTGCCTCCACTTTCCCTTTAAATCATGCAGCCTTCCCTTTTCATTATATTTCCTGGAGACATCACTTGTTATTTATGGGTCCTGTTGCTGGGGGAAGGGGGTCTTGGCTACTGTGTGCTTAATGAGGCGGCCTCCTTGCCTTTTGGGGATGGGAATTAGCCCTCTGGTTGCTTTGCTTTCCTTTGCTCTGGGATTTAATAGCTCCCCTGGAGCAGCAGCTGCTGTACTTTAAAGCAGCAACATTGGCATATTGCGAGTCTGCTTTCCCTTCCCAATTCCCACAGAAGGGAAATGCCTTCTTTTGATTCCGGGAAGGATGGAGTGCTGTTGATGAAGCAGGGAGAGGAATTATATTTATTTTTTGGCAGCTCAGAAAAATGCAGCATGGATCATTTTGCACTGTGTTTTTCCGAATTTCATATCACCACCACATTTTTAAAAACCGTGGAAAGCTCCCCAAAACAGCTTGTTTCCTCTTACTTCGCAAGTATATGCAGCCTATGACACATCCAGACAGGATCATCCGCATCGGGAGATGTGTGATGCATCGTCGGTGATCTAATTTGGAGAAATGAAGCACAGGCTTCTGCCACGTCTGTCTACCTTTTCCTATGGATGTGGATGGATTGTGTCCCTTTCAGATGGATTGTGTCGCTTTAATTTCCAATCGGAATTCATTTTTGTAAATCCGCTCCTGGCTTTTGGCTCTTAGTGACTCAAATGCTGTAGTGTTGTTGTGGTTGCTGCTGTCATTTTAAGGCAGAGGGAGGGGGAAACGTGGACCTGCGACAACAGCTGGAAGATGAAGCTATCTATCTAGTGAATGTGGCTCAGCAAATTCATGCCTGCATCAAGGATGTAATGGCTAGCACATGCCTGAGCCACGCTGATGACTGGCAGAATCTATGTGCTCAGTTGTTTTTCAGGGTGCCGTGCTGAGCAAGAAAATGTATTTCCACTGGCAGTAGTGGATACCAAAATGTGGCCATGTTTTGCATTAGACGTGCCTTGCAAATGTTCCCGCTTTATAGTAGTGATGCATAAGAATGGGGTCACGGAGTTCTGTTTTTAACATTTGAGATAAATAATAGAAGGTGTTCGTGTGAAAATGGCTCTTCGGTAGACTTTTCTGAAATGCCTTGAAACACTTTGCATGTAATACGTTCAGCA